TTAAATAGTTAGAGGACTGACACACATACCTGAACATTAAGATTTATACACATGTTGTCATGGTAATAATAAAGGGTTGACTAATTTGGACATTTGCTGGTGACGTATTTAATCATTCTTTGTCTGATTTGTTGGAGTTAACCTGTCTGTGCTGTTCTGTAACTGAGAATAGATTCTGTTGCCTGTAATTTTAATGGGGATGGTGTTGTAGCCTCGTGGTTAAAGTGTTCACTGGTCACGCCCAAGGCCCAGGTTCGATTTCCCACATGGGTACAATGTGTGAAGCCCATTTCTAAAAGCAGCTCCCTCACTCGTTCTAATTTTAATAGCTATTTTAGCCTCGCTAATTACGATGTTCATTCCTAGATCCCAATACAGGATATTTAACTTCCCCAAAAGCACAGGTTTGATAACCTCTTATAATGTCATTCTTAAATTTTGTCATCAAAAAGTATTCTCAATCTCATCTCTCACAGACAGTTTTCCTGGTGTGTGGGGCGGTCTCGTGGCCTAGTGGTTAAAGCGTTCGCTCGTCATGCCGAAAACCCGGGTTTGATTTCCAACAAGGGTGCAATGTATGAAGCCAATTTCTGGTGTCCCCCGCCGTGATATTTGCTGGAATATTGCTAAAAGCGGTGTAATACTTCACTCACTCCTGGTGTGTGTGCATTAGTTTATGTCAATTTGTCAGACCGTGACAACAGGCGATACAGTTCCAACTGACACTTGTTTCTCAGACACTGACTTTTGGCGTCTCAGACTATTTATATTTGATAATGATAACAAACACATGGTCAGCTCTGACCTGGGCGCCGATAGACAAGGGCGACGCCATGTATGTTTGTGAGTAGTAGCTACCTGACCTATTTAATTTGCATATTTATCCGTCATTGACCCCAAATGACACTCTTCTGTATATGTTTTAGTGAGACTGGCATAAAGGCTATGCCATTGAAAGACCTGAGAAAGAGAATGGCCATATCTCAATCAGCTGCAAACTTCAGGAATTCTCGTCTCTACGGTGACCATAGAAGGAGAGAATCAAGTAAGTATTGCACATAACATCACTTTTGACATATGTAGGGAGCAGTTCAAAGTCAACATTTCCGGGATTTACAGTTGAAGTCAATATATAACATGAACAACTTTAGTCATCATACTTTTGCTCCAAATATTACTGCAATCTCCATTGTGGGTATACAAGAGTTGAGTGAAAATGCAAGCCAACCTGACAAACCCCAAATCTCTGCTTTTTGATGATTGTGAAGTAGAATTCACCAGACCAAAAAATCTCAAATTATTGTTAGTCACCTTTTATAATTTTTAAGGGGGCATGTCTCAAAAGTTATATTAGGAATTAACTTAAGGAATTTTTTTTTTTATCATGCTCCCAAAACCTGTCAGTCATGTTAAAGGGGCTGTGTTGCATCTGTCAGAGAATGTTATATTCTCTTCATGGTGTTCATAAAGTGTGGATTTAAAAATAGAATTATTTGCCAGCGTTTTTTTTCTTATTTTAAAAAAATAATTTCTAATTATGATCAACATGATTAAATATACTAGCTTGTGAATGACGTGTGTGAATGATCAGCCAAGTTTGTTTACAAACAAGGCAGATGTAGGTCTGTATTCAAGGATACAGTCAAACACTGTTGTGTTGAACATTGATGTGGCAGACTGAGAATTCCTTCTTTATTCATCATTATCGGTTGTGTCGAACCTCGGATAATTCGAAGTATTTTGACGTAAGTCCCATCAACTTCAACAGAACTGTGTTTTACCAGAGTTCCCGTTGGATTTTGAAACTGCCAATCCTGGTGGACTGGCAGCTCTAAAAATTGCAAGCCCCCCCCCCCCCCCCCCCCAATATATCAGTCCCAACTTTCACCCCCCAAAAAACCTATGAAAATTTAATTCTTTCAACATCATGTTCAATGCAATGACATCATCTCTGAAGTAACTTAGTTAGATCTAAACGTTATTCACAAGTTCAGTCGACACGCGAAAATCAGGGATAGAATAGGTCTTCAGCAACCCATGCTTGCCTTAAAAGGTGACTATGCTTGTCGTTCAGGCTCGATGCTCATGATATCAATCACTGGATTGTCTTGTCGAGACTGAATTATTTACAGACGGCCGTCATATAGCTGGAATATTGCTAAGAGCGGCGTAAAACCATACTCACTCACTCACTCACAATTTGCCTCTATGTCCGACTCTGACAGTGACAATAGTTTTCGAGTTATCATGGAATGGGTTTTTTTTTCCGAAGAAGGATAAGTAACATCTAGCTGTGACCGACAATAGTGACGAAAATAATCAGGATGATCCCCATCTTGGACGCGTGGGTATCACTTGCAAAACACAGCTTGGTTCGTTTGTTTAGTATATTTTCTCCAAATGACAATAACCCGTTGTTGTCTTGCAATAGCACTATAAAGATGAAGCGACTTGTCATAGACTCTGTGAATCCGTGTCACTTGCTAACATGTTACATTACACTATACACATGGCTGAGTGGTTTATAGTACCCGGACTGACTGCTGGCAAACACTATGCAGTAATCTACTGCAGGTACATGTTGTTGTGAGATGTGTGACTGTAGGTGACAGTTCTGTTCTGATTAGTTATCACTAATTGCCTACAAAGATCAATCGATATCTATCTTCAGAACGGCACGGATTGAGGGGGGATGGACCCGCGCCCCTAAAATTGAAAAGGAAAATATCACTCGATGTTAAAATTATATTTTTCACGTTAAACCAAGGCCACTTGACACGAGTCCACTAGTCATATACTTCCCATATATGGAATCCACAACAGTATTATAAATACAACACAGGTCTCGCCATATCCAATGAAACGATCGCGTATATTCTGTATACCTGGCTGGTGGCAATACCCAATCAGCTTGCAGGCCTAGTCAACTATGCTAATTAAGCCACGCCTCCTCGTTAGCGCTTTTAAGATTCTTTTGGGTTGTTTTTTTTTGTTTTTTATTTAACACCACCCTCAGCGATATTTCAGCTATATGGCGGCGGTTCGTTTGGGTTGTGACATGTACAGACCTCAAAAGACGTACTTTAATTAAACGCAGCAGCGCTATGTTTACGTTTTCACACTTTTCTTATCGGCCATCACAGTGTACATCATACTGGCTACATCCGGGGTAGAATCGGTCTTCAGCAACCCGTGCTTGTCGTAAGAAGCGACTAACGGGATCGGGAGGTCAGGCTCGCTGACTTGGTTGATGCATGTCATCGATCCCAATGCTCATGATGTCAATCACTGGATTGTCTGGTCCAGACTCGATTAGTTACAGACCGCCGTCATATAGCTGGAATATTGCTGTGAGCGGCGTTAAACAACAAACAAACATATCTATTAATATGTTTAATGATACTTGCACTATAAGTTAATCTGTCATGGCCATTTAGTCATATGATAAAAATCGCGTGTCCTTTATTTATTTTGAGTAGTATACATGGCGTATTGTTATAGCATGCCTATACTTTATAGGCTCCATACACCTCATTAACGGCTCGCCTTCCTTTATAGCTTTAATAAGAATGGCTGTAATAACGTAGCCAGGAGTCTGTAAACAGATCCGCACAGCAACTTGAACATGAACGAGAAGAGTGGTGATTAGTGAGGGTGTCCACCGGGGAGCGGACATGCTGGTGTACCGGATGCGAGTAGAGTGAGCGAGCGAGTTTAACGCCGCTTTGAACAATATTCCAGTTATATCGCGGCGTGTCAGCTTAATGTGGGAAGAAAGCCGAAGTGATGCAGGTCTCAGACGTTTACCACTTCGGTGAAACCCACGAGCACGGGTATGGTGCTGACAAACATATAAGTATAATCGGGGCGAACCGGGATTCGAACCCACGATCATGTTCCTGGTGTGCCCAAGGGATGCAACTCTGCACAGCTAATTGCGGCGCCTTAGACGACTGCGCCCGCCGCCCCGTCACCCCAGTAGAATTAAGTGAGTCTAACACCGCGCGGACAAACCCTACAGCGACGCTGGTCGAAGAGCTCTACAATTTTAATAAAACCCACGGGTATGTCGACGACAGACCAAGAATCTTGATCGGGCGGATTCAAACCAACAACTAGCGCATCCTTTCGAGGCTAAGGGGTGCAACTCTGCATGAACTTCGACCATTGGCAATCTAACGGCATCATTAATAAGAGCCTGATAGACATGTTGTGTAAATGTTGGAATCGAACTCAGTACTCCAACTATCACCAGCGAACACACTAACAGTGGTGCCAAATGAAAGAAGTCTATGAAGAAGTCTTCCGGAGAGCGGAAGGTCCAGGATTCGATCCACGGCCGCGTCATACCAAAAGACGTTAAAGGGTGGTACTTGTTGTTACCCTGTCTGGCGCTCGGCATTAAGGGGCTTAAACAAGGACTGGTCGGCTCGGGGTCAGTATACTGTGTCTGAGTGGGGTATTCATGTTAAACTGAGGCATGGTATCTCAGTTGGCTAGCACCTGCATTAGCCCCAACTAGTACAAGTAACCCTACACAAACAATAACCTTGGACGCGACGTTAAACCTTATTTCACCTCACCTCACCTCCCTGATTAGTCTCACATACCAATGAACTGTACCCATTGCCCCATGGGTGAGTGAGTGAGTATGGATTTACGCCGCTGTTAGAAATCGTCCAGCAATATCACGGCGGGGGGACACCAGAAATGGGCTTCACACATTTGCCCCATTAAGGCATTTACATGCTTTCTGAAAATCACATTTGAGTTTTCAAAGAATTATTACTGTTCCGGTATCATAAATAAATATGATACCACAGAATAACCAATAAAAGAAGCTTCATTTTCATATTACAAGTATGAAATATTAATTAATCTGTACATCAGATCATCAGATGTAACTTTTCGGCTTGGCCATAAGCTCAAGTCCCAACTGGCCGGTCCAGACCTGCCCCGGGTGGAGAGCCTCGGTTGACTTGTTCGGGGGTAATACCTGTGTGTTATTGTTCCTATTCAAACACGTTCTACACATGATATGACACGGCATTAGAGTACTCAAGCCAGCACTCTACTCTATGTCAGAAGCCTATCTGACGTACTCGGGGTATTAGCAGAAAGAACGCTGCTTATAGATTATTGATCAAAATCAAAAGTCCGGCACAGTGTACAGGCGGGACTCGCCTCTGGTTGAAGAGAGTACCTGCTTTGGTGTACATGGAGAGGGCACGACGCACAACAGCTCGACATTGAGTGTGGTACTCACTTGTGTTGCAGGACGGTAGGAAGTGAAGGACAGGTCGAAGCGGAACTTGTGGATGTTTACTTGTTTACAGTGGGACTATTGTACAAGCATGGCCGATCAGTCCTTTATCATTGTTAAGTACGGAGGTGAGTAAAAGCGCCTTCAGCAGTTATACGGTTGGGCACTGTCACTGACCGGGTGTTGTTGAATCTGTGATATTGTTATGGTAGTTGTGTCGTATTACACAATGAACGTGTCTTAACATACAACCCAACGCTGTCTCCATGGTAACTGGAATATGATAATATTTTTTAAAAATGCTTAAACAAGATTCATATTTACAAACTGTAACATACGTGATGTAGCATCGTCAGCAACAGCGGAGTGACTGGGCGCACTCACTGCACGTGCACTGTCGTTTCTATAACTGTTACGGCGTATGTGGAACCCTGCTTCTGAAACTGAAGACAGAAGCAGGGTTAGTTTACTCTCTCTCTCTCTCTCTCTCTCTCTCTCTCTCTCTCTCTCTCTCAAACACCCATCGACTATTGGACGATAGGTTGTTTAACTTGGTAGTGTTTTGAACGTGTACTTTTTGAAAACTATATACAATCATTTAAAATGGGCTTTATTATTAAAGATGGTTGTGACATTGCCCACATGACGGAGATGTTTAATAAATTAATAGATTTATTCTGCCCTTTGTTGGTAAAAGTATCATTTGATGACATCCATGATACTTCTTGTTGTCATGACAACCATCTAGACAAACGACCACTAAACAATTACCTTATGAATGGGGGATAATCAACTGTTATTTAGTCGACGTTTGACCCACTGATCTTAATAACACCCATTCGACGCCAGTTCGCATGGCGAAGCACAGATTAATCCCCATTGTTCAAACACGTACTCAACCGTGGTTGAAGTTTTCCGATCGAACACGCCCGGTCCCGTAATATGTAACCATACAATCGATTGTTTTTATGATATGATCGAACATGGCTGGATCACAGGGTGGGACTGGATTTTATTGATTTTAGACAAAACAGCATGCAACCCTGGTCGTTGTGTATCGATACATGTGCAAGCACCGGATACAGGCATTTGATTAAACAAGGACTGGCAGCCACGCCGTCAAACTGGCTTAGTCTGATCCGCGTCTTGACAGCCACCTGGAGTTGGAAATGGTAGTCACGGGGTTCGAAAACAAACACATACCTTATAATATCACGTTTGTGTAGTTTGTTTGTTCAGCGAAAAATGTTGACAATGAATATAGAGAGAAGAGAGGAATAATTTGTTCATGTGTAACACGTTACATAACCTGTGTATATATATATATATATATATATATATATATAATAGGCGCGCCAAAGATTATTGCACTTATGAAGCTATATGCATGCACGAGTGTGTGTGTGTGTACTCGTCCGGACTGATGCCGACTTTTCTTGGGAGTAGGCAACAAAACACCTAATTTGGCAGTAAGGGGGGAAATGGGCTGGTCATCTAACTATACAAAGCAAAAAATTGAGATAGTACGTTTCTGGAAAAGGCTGAGTTTGGCAGATGAAAACAGGCTAATGCATATAGTGCAAAGATGGTCATCTAAATTTCGTAAGTCATGGGATAATTCAGTTAAGAAATTATTCGATGTGAAATCAATTACTTCTGTTATAACTAACCTATTATCTTGTGACTTCGACCTTGCTAGAAATATACTCATCAATAAGGATAAGGAATTATGGTTGGAACAGCTCTGGGATGACAGAGGATTAACAAATGGTATTAAGTTAAGAACATATCGTTTGTTTAAAACGTCTTTAAGTACCTCCAAATATGTCATTGATTTAGCCAACAGAGAACACCGTAGTATATTTGCTAAATTTAGATGTGGTACCCTCCCTCTGGAAATTGAACTCGGTCGTTTCTTGAAACCAAAAATTCCCTTACATAATCGTATTTGTAAACACTGTAATACAAACAGTATCGAAGACGAGGTTCATTTCTTAACAACGTGTTTTCTTTATGCAGATCAACGAGAATATGTCTGGGGTTATGCCTCGTCTCTTTGCCCAAATTTTTGTCTCATGACCCCTATAGATCAAACCACATTCCTTATGAAGTGCGATAATTTATCCTATTCTGTAGCTGCACTAATTAAATCCATGTACAAACGTAGGTTATATAACAACGTGTCATAAACCCATTCCAGTATTGTATGCCTCTGTATATTTTATATTTGATAAAACATGTCATTGTATGGCAATGCTTGTCATAAATGTACGAGCATTATACTTTTATCTCGTATTTTGTGCACCATTAACAAATAAACCACTGTCCAACATAACTATTTTAGCACTTGCGGTGCTTTTAAGAACATTAGTGTCTAATAGGCCCACGCTGGCCGGGCGATGTATATCTTTTAATATATTTTACCTCTTGTATAAATTGAAGTAATTTTATGTATACACCGCTGGACACTTAAATAAACTATTTTTCTTCTTCTTCTTCTTCTTCTTATAGTGCTAGCCCATTGAAATACCATACCGCAGTTTAACATGAATACCCCACTCAGACACAGTATACTGACTCCGAGCCGACCAGTCCTTGTTTCAGCCCCTTAATGCCGAGCGCCAGACAGGGTAACAACAAGTACCACCTTTTAACGTATTTTGGTATGGCGCGGGCGTGGATCGAACTCCGGACCTTCCGCTCTCCGGGCGGACGCTCTACCACTTTACCGCGGTCTTGTGTACATAGAAAAATGGACATATAATTTACAGGTAACGCCCAGCCGTAAAGCTTATGAGACACAATAAAACACATATATACATAAAAAATAAGAAGGATACTGTTCGTATTCTGTATAAAATCAATAACACACATGTATTACACAGTATTAGCTATACATCAGTCTTGCTCGCAACTTGTCGCCTGTACATGTCTATTTATTCCGATAGTTATATATAAGTTGATCTAATATTTATAGCTGGTATATATTATTACCATGGTAAACACAGTGGCTGAAATCCTATTTATATAAATGGCAAGATACATTTCTGATACAATTTCTATTGAATAAAAAGGGTGAAGGCATTCGTCGTCACCGCTCGGACCTTTCCGTAACCTACAGGTTGGTACGAGCTGGTCCATTCTTTCCTGGATGGGCGGGCGGGTAGCCTAGTGGTTAAAGCGTTCGCTCGTCACGCCAAAGACCCGGGTTCGATTCGATGAAGCCCATTTCTGGTGTCCCCCGCCGTGATATTGCTTGAATATTGCTAAAAGCGGCGTAAAACCTTACTCACTCACTCTTTCCTGGGTTAGAATTGGTCTTCAGCAACCCATGTTTGTCGTATGAGGCGACGGGATCGGGTGGTCTGGTCCAGATTTGATTATTAACAGACCGGCGTCATATAGCTGGAATATGGCTGAGTTGCGGCGTTAAACAACAAACAAACAAACAAATACAAACGTAACCTATAAGAAGCCGATACTCGTCACGGCTCGCACCTTTCCGTAACTACACAAGACGCTGACATTCCATTCAACCTTTCCGTAACCCACAAGAACCAAATGATACGCGTTGGTAATAAATATTACCATAACTCGTCCTATTCCGTAACCGGTTTGTCCCGGAAATATTTACGAATGAAATGGCATATTTGCATTATTGACCAACTCGTGTTATTCCGGGAAAGCCGAACAGCATGTTACGGAAAGGGGCGAGTGATGACGAATGGGCACATTTGGTCCTCAACATTCGCCATCAATCGCACTTTTACGTAACCCGGAAGGACACGAGTGGTCCATTTTGAATGACATCGGTAGTTGCCGTTGCATCGCCCAAAACAGAAAATTTATTTCCTTGCTTTCTTAAGTTGTATCATCTGTTTAAGCGGCAATATCGCGTGATGGGACACCCGTATTGCTCTAGTGGGGAATCGATCCCGGACCGCGTTCCTGACGCTGGGGCAGGTAACCATACGGCCAGCGCCTTCGTCGTAAGATAAGACGCACCTGTACCTGCACCTGCATTTAAAACAAAGAAACTAATCCTACACGGGGTTGTCAGGGAGGTTCTTTCAGCCTCTCTCACGCCGGTAGTCTAAAGTTTCACAGTCCTTATAAATATTTGAAACGGGTTTCAAAGACGTGTAGGCGGAATGGCTCCACAATCGTTTCCGTGATGGCGAAGAGGGAGGAACCGGTTCACGTAACTGCATCCATCCATCTACTTGTCTGATTGCCTGTCGTTCACGGGCCTCCACTGAACACAGAGATAAAAGAATGGTTCAATGTAAAAGTAATGTGCTCTTATTGAACGCTCACACCGACTAGAACCTTCCACTAGCTTTCTGTGTTCAATTATTCAATATTTCACTGATTGCGCAGAAGAGAATTTTTGGTCTGAATAACGTTCCAGACGCAGGGAAACCACCATCTAGGAGTTTAGCGAGAAACTATCAAGTCCTTGATGGCGTCGATGTCAACTTTTCCACCCCTTGGATCCAGACTTTCTTGACCCAAAAACCTATTCCAGCAATATCACAGCGGGGGACACCATAAAAAGACTCCATACATTGTCTCCCTGGTGATTGTTTGTCTGTTGTTTAACGCCACACTCAGCAATATTCCAGCTAAATGACGGCGGTCTTGAAATAATCGAGTCTGGAGCAGACAATCCAGTGATTGCCACCATGAGCATCGATCCGGGCAGTTGGGATCGATGACATGCGTGTGCCTCTGTGTGTGTGCGTGTGTGTGCGTGCGTGCGTGCTTGTGCCTCTCTGTGTGCGTGTGCGTGTGCGTGTGTGTGTGTATGCGTGCGTGCGTGCGTGTGTTATTCCACCAAACATTGGTCTCAACGTATTCAGGACGCTAGTATCACTAGCCTCCACCCTTTTAGAAATGTGTATGAAGCGAGGGGTGTATGAAGCGAGGGGTGTTTGAAGCGAGGGGTGTATGAAGCGAGTGGTGTATTTCAAACCGAGCATGACCCTAATCCACGTCCAAGGTTTCACAACACGCAATGTCAACAAAATATCATTTTAGCTAAAAAGTAAACAACTGATGTTATTTAGTCATCTTCTCAGGCCAAATATAAATCATTGATAACTCAAAGTTTATATTTGATATATTCCCAACATGTTATTGAAACAAGGAATTGTTTTGCGGACACGCCATTGTTTGTCTGCGATAAGGCACTGGGCTGTGTGTCCTAGAATCCCATCAACATGGTCATACATACGCCACGCCCGCTGTCAATACTTCATTTACATACCTGAACAACGCACGTTAATCTAGGCACATAACAATGCATAATGGCGAAGGCAAGCGTGTATTTTCAATTATTGCGGATTATCCTATAATCTGGAGATAATCTCCCCAGCAGGTGCGTGTTTACGTCCACAGATCATAGATTAAGTCTTTGTGATTCCATGATGGTAATGAAAAACATATTTATGTCAGAAGTTAATTGAATAATGTTTATGGTCAAAACAAATTACGCTTTAAATTCAACCATTAACGCACTCCAGTTAGCGTCGTCCGCACGTGAAGGTTTGGTTCCTTAACATGCTATGCATTCCAGTTAACGCCATCTACACTGCTAAAAGTGAATAAACAACTTCTCAATATAAATTTGAAGTTTGCAGATGGGTTTAGGGTTCGAATCCCGGTTGCAACGTATCTAGGTTTGTCAGCACCATACTACTACTACTACTACTACTACTACTACTACTACTACTACTACTACTCATTACTACTACTAATAATAATAGCCTAACTAGCCTGTTCACCCAAACCCTAATTGCTGCATTTTTATTTATTTTATATCTGTACATTATACTAATACTATACTAATACTCCGAGTTCCTGCTAGGTTGCTCAGAGGCGCTTTACATTATTAAGACGGTCAGTGGATTATTTGGTACTCTATTTTCATTCTAAGCTCCCTGGGGATCATACAAGTCAAGCTATCTCCTTCTCACCCTCCCGGGTACGCATTAACTATTGGGAGACCCCACATGATTGCAATGATAAAGACATAGCAACACATGTGTATTCCTTCTGAGACGCCCGATATAACATACCGCAGCATGCACTTCGTGCCTCTGAGCAAAATGTCTTGTATTCGGTAACTATGTGCAATCGGAACTAAATACTGTTGATACTCTTTACATGACACCGCCTCGTTAACTGGTAGTGTCACGCTCTCTGGCTCCCAATGCCATCCATTCATCTGACAAATGTACCCCGAGGCCGACCGATTTTGAACCACCATCGCGTGTTTCGACTCCTTGGGAACTGGCTTTATTATACAGCCACCTAGCTGCTTGGGTTGATATTCTAACGCGCATTCCGCCTCCGATCTGTCAGTCTGACATGCCAGCACGCGACATGTCTGGATCAAAGCCTCCTTTTGACAACGGCTCTGTCTGCGTCCTAACACCCGGTGCTCTTCTGTCAATGGCGACCAGGAGTGTGATTGTTGCCGGTAGATAGTTTTGTCTGGGGTGAGGGGGCAGCATGCAGCTGAGTTTGGGGTCAGCGGGGGTCATGTATATACATGGCCAGTTTGCGATTCTTCTGATAACCATCGCCATTTGATTACACGCGGATTTCGATCAGATCAATAGTGAGTGAGTGAGTGAGTTGTGTTTAACGCCGCTTGAAACACTGTTCCAGCTGCATCACGGCGTGTCAGCTTGGTGTCGGGGAAGGCAGCCCTGTACCACTTTAGTAAAACCCACGGGCACTGGTGTGGTGCTGACAAACCCAGAAACATAATCAGGGCAAATATAGGATTCGAACCCACGATATCTGGTTCCTGGCGGACCTAAGGGACACAACTCTGCATGCTGCAGCACCTTACACGTCAGAACCACCGTGTTCTTTACGTAATAGGTTTACTCGTGCAAAGCCGATATACAGAATCAAATGTGTAAAATGGACACTTATACAAGGGATCCTACATTTTAGGTATTAATCAGTATTTTATGTGTAAATCACGTTTAACCATGTGTGGTTTTTACTGGTGACTTTTACTTTGTTGCGCCGTGAGCATGTCTTGGCCGAGGTGTTTCTCGCGCAATACAAATTGACTTAGTATTGAATGATTAGAATCATGAACTACCCCGTGGGTTCACGTTTCAGATGACCAGCAGGCGCTGTTCAACCCCTGGTGCACGACCCACACCCTCCTTGAGTGGATCCGGAGAAAGTGCAACTGCTCTCACGACAGTAAGTGGCATTGTTTAGTTTCACAAAGAAACTATTGCATTTTCAGAATCTATGAATTTGAATTAACTGAGACCTTCCTGGTTTGAAAGAGTCAACTTAAAAGTGTAATATTTTGATGACATTGACGATGATACTTGTGTTAAATTATCCTGGGGGTGAGGGTGGAGGAGGGGTGTAGTTGACCTCTAACCACATGTGCTCCTGTAATATGAACGAATATGCCCACAGCTTGAATCTATAGGAACATCTCCATGCTCCGTCTGTTGTCAACACGCACCTGTCTCCGTTTCAGTTACCATTGACCTCATTGACCAAGATGGCCAGGTGAAGAATCTCGCCGGAAGTAACGAAGAATATGCAAATGAGCTGGTAAATGGAAGAGAGACGTACATCTTAATACGGGTGGAAAGTAGGTATACCCACACATGTTCATACCGTTCAGTAGTCTATCCACACGTACATGTTCATACCGTTGTCTACCCACACCTACATGTTCATACCGTTCAGTAGTCTACCCACACCTACATGTTCCTACCATTGTCTACCCACACGTACATGTTCCTACCATTTTCTACCCACACCTACATGTTCCTACCATTGTCTACCCACACCTACATGTTCCTACCATTGTCTACCCACACCTACATGTTCCTACCATTGTCTACCCACCTATACATGTTCATACCGTTCAGTTGTCTACCCACACCTACATGTTCATACAGTTCAGTAGTCTACCCACACATACATGTTCATACCGTTCAGTTGTCTACCCACACATACATGTTCATACCGTTCAGTTGTCTACCCACACATACATGTTCATACCGTTCAGTTATCTACACACACGTACATGTTCATACCGTTCAGTTGTCTACCCACTCGTACATGTTCATACAGTTCAGTAGTCTACCCACACATACATGTTCATACCGTTCAGTTGTCTACCCACACATACATGTTCATACCGTTCAGTTATCTACCCACACATACATGTTCATACCGTTCAGTAGTCTACCCACACATACATGTTCATACCGTTCAGTTGTCTACCCACACGTACATGTTCATACCGTTCAGTTGTCTACCCGCACATACATGTTCATACCGTTCAGTTATCTACACACACGTACATGTTCATACCGTTCAGTTGTCTACCCACACATACATGTTCATACCGTTCAGTTGTCTACCCACACGTACATGTTCATACCGTTCAGTTGTCTACCCACACATACATGTTCATACCGTTCAGTTGTCTACCCACACGTACATGTTCATACCGTTCAGTAGTCTACCCACACATATATCGTAATACGGATGGAAGTAAGGTCAATCTTGACATACATTTAAATACGGGTGGAAGGTAGATATACCTAGACATATATCTTAATACGGGTGGAAGATAGGTATACCAATACATACACCTTAATACGGGTGGAAAGTAGGAACACCTAGACATACATCTTAATATGGGTGGAAGGTAGGTCTACCTAGACATACATCTTAATACGGGTGGAAGGTAGGTATACCTAGACACACATCTTAATACGGGTGGAAGGTAGGTCTACCTAGACATACATCTTAATACGGGTGGAAGGTAGGTCTACCTAGACATACATCTTAATACGGGTGGAAGGTAGGTATACCTAGACACACATCTTAATACGGGTGGAAGGTAGATATACCTAGACATACATCTTAATACGGGTGGAAGGTAGGTCTACCTAGACATACATCTTAATACGGGTGGAAGGTAGGTCTACCTAGACATACATCTTAATACGGGTGGAAGGTAGGTATACCGAGACATACATCTTAATACGGATGGAAGGTAGGTCTACCTAGACATACATCTTAATACGGGTGGAAGGTAGGTCTACCTAGACATACATCTTAATACGGATGGAAGGTAGGTCTACCTAGACATACATCTTAATACGGATGGAAGGTAGGTCTACCTAGACATACATCTTAATTCGGGTTTCAGTTTTCAAATAGCAAGCTGACAGAGCACGCAGTGCACAATTGAAACCCCCTTCACTCAACACTCGTCTTCAGTGTTTGTCTACTAGACGAACAGGTATAATGTACGACTTGACTTGTCCCACTATTGACTTGCTTGTAAAGACTGATTGCCCTACTCGTGTATTACTCGTATACAACCCATGTGCCTGCCATATTATGAGGTGTCAAGTTGGGAATAGCTTAGACTTGCTAAGGATTTATTGCTTTTATCTATATATGTTTTGAAATTTAAAAGCACGGGAAACCTTGTTATGGAAATAAAGAAAGGTCCCCTCGTGTCACCTGAACCATATAGCAAGCATTCTTGCGGTGGTGTCACATTCAGATTGAATTGGCCCCACGGGGAGCCTTCATTGTGTTTGTCAAAGGCATGTTTCCATAAATAATGTTTCTATATACCTCAGTGGTAGTGTTCGCAGTCGAAGGATTAAAAGGTCAACTTATTTCAGGTTTTGGTTTCTATGTTTAGCTTACCTGTGCCGAATGGATCCTGTGCGTTAAAGGTGGTAGCGAGCGTCGATGCAAGCTCTGCTTACGCCTAACATCAGTCATAAAGTATAGTGCTTCTTCTAGCGTCATTGTTTTCCAATAAATAAGTCCAAGTCGGTAGTTTTCGCCGTTGTTGTGTGCAGAAAGGGAATTCTATTGTGACGTATTTAGGTCACGTGTTAATTTAGATCTTCCCGTCTTTGGATATCTCTTGCTGTTTTCCCTTAATATCAGCATGGTTCGTCGTCCGTTCCGTGTGCACGCCTGGATCTCCTCTATGTATTCACGTCCTCTTGTGTAGTATGATATACACTGACTATTTATATTATGTAGTATGATATACACTGACTATTTATATTGTGTAGTATGATATACACTGACTATTCATATTGTGTAGTATGATATACACTGACTATTTATATTGTGTAGCGTGATATACACTGACTATTTATATTGTGAAGTATGATATACACTGACTATTTATATTGTGTAGTATGATATACACTGACTATTCATATTGTGTAGTATGATATACACTGACTATTTATATTGTGTAGCGTGATATACACTGACTATTTATATTGTGTAGCGTGATATACACTGACTATTTATATTGTGTAGTATGATATACACTGACTATTTATATTGTGCAGTATTATATACACTGACTATTTATATTGTGTAGTATGATATACACTGACTATTTATATTGTGTAGTATGATATACACTGACTATTCATATTGTGTAGTATGATATACACTGACTATTTATATTGTGTAGTATGATATACACTGACTATTTATATTGTGTAGTATGATATACACTGACTATTCATATTGTGCAGCGTGATATACACTGACTATTTATATTGTGTAGTATGATATACACTGACTATTTATATTGTGTAGCGTGATATACACTGACTATTTATATGGTGTAGTATGATATACACTGACTATTTATATTGTGCAGCGTGATATACACTGACTATTTATATTGTGTAGTATGATATACACTGACTATTCATATTGTGTAGTATGATATACACTGACTATTTATATTGTGTAGTATGATATACACTGACTATTTATATTGTGTAGTATGATATACACTGACTATTTATATTGTGCAGTATTATATACACTGACTATTTATATTGTGTAGTATGATATACACTGACTATTCATATTGTGCAGCGTGATATACACTGACTATTTATATTGTGTAGTATGATATACACTGACTATTTATATTGTGTAGTATGATATACACTGACTATTCATATTGTGCAGCGTGATATACACTGACTATTTATATTGTGTAGTATGATATACACTGACTATTTATATTGTGTAGTATGATATACACTGACTATTCATATTATGCAGCGTGATATACATTGACTATTTATATTGTGTAATATGATATACACTGACTATTCATATTGTGTAGCGTGATATACACTGACTTTATATTGTGTAGCGTGATATACACTGACTATTTATATATGTGTAGCGTGATATACACTGACTTTATATTGTGTAGCGTGATATACACTGACTATTTATATTGTGTAGCGTGATATACACTGACTATTTATATTGTGTAGCGTGATATACACTGACTATTTATATTGTGTAGCGTGATATACACTGACTATTTATATTGTGCAGCGTGATATACACTGACTATTTATATTGTGCAGCGTGATATACACTGACTATTTATATTGTGCAGCGTGATATACACTGACTATTTATATTGTGCAGCGTGATATACACTGACTATTTATATTGTGCAGCGTGATATACACTGACTATTTATATTGTGCAGCGTGATATACACTGACTATTTATATTGTGCAGCGTGATATACACTGACTTTATATTGTGTAGCGTGATATACACTGACTATTTATACTGTGTAGCGTGATATACACTGACTATTTATATTGTGCAGCGTGATATACACTGACTTTATATTGTGTAGCGTGATATACACTGACTATTTATACTGTGTAGCGTGATATACACTGACTATTTATATTGTGCAGCGTGATATACACTGACTTTATATTGTGTAGCGTGATATACACTGACTATTTATACTGTGTAGCGTGATATACACTGACTATTTATATTGTGTAGCGTGATATACACTGACTATTTATATTGTGCAGAAACAAATGTTGCCTAGTTTGGTAACGTGCCCTGTCTGACTGACATGATTTAAAATTATTTAAAACGAAAAAACTAAACATTCGGGTGAGCTACAGTGCCTCGTGGTTTACTATTCCCCCCGTGTGTGAATTCCTGAAACTAACAAAGGTACCATATCAGCGGCGAATCTGTGTGAACTAATGTGTTCAGCACTGACTGCCAGTCATCAATGCGAACACACTAACGCGAATGAAAGGAATTTCCATATGCATTGGCGCACTCACCTTCATTACCAATATCGGACATTATATTCACATCTATTGGATTAAAATTGATATTAATTCAAACGTATGTCTTGCATGTAGCTGTTGGGGGGTTGTAAGGCTTCGGCACCATGCACACCTACCCGTGAACATCCGGGGTAAAATATGTCATCAGCAACCCATGCTTGATGTAAAAGGTTACTATGCTTGTCGTAAGAGGCGACTAACAGGATCGGGTGGTCAGGCTCGCTGACTTGGTTGATGCTTGTCATCGATCCAAACTGCGTGGATCGATGCTCCTGCTATTAATCACTGGATTGTCTGGTCCAGACTTGATTTTTTACAGACCACCGTCATATAGCTGGAATATTGCTGAGTGCGGCCTTAAACAACAAACAAACAAACCATGCCCACGTGTGTCATGACTTGTCTCCCACACACGCTGCATCTGTCCTGTCTGTTTCCTGAGGGGCGGTCGGGTAGCCTAGTGGTTGAAGCGTTCGCTCGTCACGCCGAAAACCCGGGTTCGATTCCCGACATGGGTACAATGTGTGAAGCCCATTTCTGGTGTCCCCCGCCGTGATATTGCTGGAATATTGCTAAAAGCGGCGTATGACCATACTCACTCACTCACTCACTCACTCTGTTTCCTGAGCCACGGTTACGGCCCTGGGTCCCGTTCCACAGAGAGACCGTAGCGCTAACACCCATACGAGTACTTTAACAGAGACTTACGACAGTCGTAGCGCTGCGATTGCTTTGTGTAATTTAATACGTCACCCCAAGGCAGGCCATACCGCAACTGTGGGTGTGGCCGCTGGCAGGGAGGCTGAAAACGGCTGGCCATATGACTGATATACCGTCTAATACGGAGTAAAACCCAACTCCCTGAATCACTCAATGTTCGATTAATAGCCATGCATGAAACTGTTATAGAACACTAGAACTACCCCCACACCTACCGCCACCCCCACACCCATCCGTCCCGACCACCATTGGGGCTTGACTATTCATAACCGACAAACGCTCGGTATCTTTAACGACGTCTCATTTTGTGTTATTTGTTTTCCAGAGGCGGGGGAGAATGGCCAGAACCGATACGTCTCAATGTTGAACAACTTGGAACACGTCAACCCAGACTTGATGGGTGAGTGAGTGAGTTAGTGAGTGAGTGCAAACACCGATGTCTTTCAGGAAGAACATGGGTATATTATGTTGGGTTCCATATGTTGGTTTCGCAGGAAGTCATTGTAAATAGCAAGTCGAGCTGTAAATAGCAAGTCAAGCTGTAAATAGCAAGTCAAGCTGTAAATAGCAAGTCAAGTTGTAAATAGCATGTCAAGCCGTAAATAACAAGTCAAGCTATAAATAGCATGTCAAGTTACAAATAGCAAGTCAAGCTGTAAATAGCAAGTCAAGCTGTAAATATCAAGTCAGGTTGTAAATAGCATGTCAAGTTGCTATCGGTTAAAGCGTTCGCTCGCCATGCCAAAGACCGCACTCAGCAATATTCCAGCTATATGACGTCAGTCTGTAAATAATCGAGTATGGACCAGACAATTCTGTGATTGATATCTTGAGTATCGATCTATGCAAATGGGATAAGATGACATGCATCAACCAAGTCAGCGGGCCTGACCACCCGATCCCTTTACTCGCCTCTTACAACAAGCATGGTTTGCTGAAGACCAAATCTGACCCGGTCTCATGGTCTTATGCTGTGATGAACATGTTGTTTATGTATGTTTTGTTGTTTCAGTCAAACTTAACAACCTCTCACGACCTGCCACAAGGAACCGAAAAGACCGCTTCAAGAAGACAACCAAATCTGGAAAAAGCGGGTCAAAACCAGATTCGCCAAACAAGCGACCGACGAGCAGTGAAAGGCGGTCCAAACTTGGCAAATAGACTGCCAAGGCATTCGGAATCTTTCGGCTAATGTATGTTTGTTCTTGATAAACAATCGGGGTTGTCACGAATGGGTGCTCGTTAAACTGAGTGTACGGAGCAATAGTGGGGATTATGAGCTCGCGTCTATACCCAGAGGGCTGTACCTTGCCAAACCAGACCGTCGACAACAGATTACATCAACCCGTCATTTACTGCTAAACATAGCCGTGCAATACCCACAGGCTGGAAGAACTAAAGTAACACGTGACCTATTACGTCACAATGGAATTGCCTTTGTGCACACGACACTAGTGGTATAACCACCAGACATACACGTGTAGGAACTGAAGGATAACGATAACCCTCAAAAGCAGCGGTTGGAAGGAACGCTCGATGACTCCCTTTTAAATGGAACATTCAGGACTAGACTCATAACGGGCATACTGTACGGAAAGTAACGAGTTGTGACGAATGCAATTCACGTCACTGACCTTTTTGCTTTGAATGTTCATATTGTTTCAAGACTTTGTCCCCGGTATGGATGTGAACTATATATGTTTATATACCATTTATATTCCATTATGCACTTGATGTTCATGTTTCAGTGCGGCTATATACGCTTACGGTCAATCTCTACAGATCAACCGAATAGCGTGAAATCTACTTCCGAGTTACTTCAGTACCTCCCGAGGTTAGGGTAGCCTAGTGGTTAAAGCGTTCACTCGTCACGCCAAAGGCCCGCGTTCGATTCTCCACATGGGTACAATGTGTGAAGCCCATTTCTGGTGTCACCACCGTGATATTGCTGGAATATTTCTGAAAGCGGCGTAAAAACCATACTTACTCAGTATCTCCTGAGATCTTTTCGAGGGTTATCTGGACGGAGGTTAAAGCTTGGCTCGTCGCGTGTCAGACGCGGGTTCGAATCTACATGGGTATACATGGAGCTAATTCTTGATATTTCTTGACTGTGGAATATTGATAGAAACGACGTAAAACTCTTCTCACTTATTCCGGGTGTGATTAGAGTCGTCAGAGGCAAGTTAGGGGATCAGATGGTCAGACTCAGTTACGTGGTTGATTGCCTGTCGTCGTACGTTGATCACTTTATCAACCACTGGTTGTCTGGTCCGATTATATACAGACCGCCGTCATGTAGCTGGAATATTGCTGAGTGCGGCGTTATTCAACAAACAAACGCTCGCAGCTCTAGTGCATTTAAACACTGTCAGGATTTGTATTGGGTCAAATGTTTTAGTTTATAGAGCCAATATGTATTTCCGATTCGTGGCTTACGTTCCTTTGATAGTATATATGCCGTCCGTTAAATGTTACATCAACACTGTATAAATAACCCGTTACATGTTACATCAACAATGTATAAATCCCCTGTGTACAATATGTATTTGACCAATTCTTACCAATCTGGTTCCCTGTTGCTGTTCCGTCAGCCCCCTAACACGGACATACCCTTGCTGTCTATACGAGAGTGTAACGGTGTCACGCGCTGGGAAGGAGCTTGTAACACGGACAGCACCGTGTGGAACTGGGTGACTGTCATTACGTTCCCGGGTATATACTCCCCTCCCACGTATGTTGTGTGTAATGGCTACGATACATTCATTGTCGATGCAATATATTCCCCGTGGTGTACCTTCGTATGTATTTTATTCTTGATTATTTCATTTCTTTTTGTAATAAAATGATATCGAACATTTATTTTATTGTTTACGTTGTTTACGTGTGAAGTTAGCCCAGTGGTTGGCTCGTCACGCCGACGATCGGGTTCGATTCCCAACATGGGATTGTGTGTCAAACCCATTCCCTTGCTATCTCCCGCTATCATATTGCTGGAATATTGCTAAAAGCGGCGAAAGACCATTCTCACTGTATTGCATTCAACATCTTCAAGCTTCACTGATTGTTCTGCATGTTCTCCCGCAACCGAGAAACTACACTGTTGATAACTGAAGACAATGTTTTGCTTGCAAAGTGTTCATGGCAAATTGGATATTCTAACAGAACTGTTGCGTTGTGGGACCAGTCTTCTACTATAATTATTCTTGTGAAATATTTCTTGATACCACAGACAACTAGACGTCGATTTCTTACCGCCATTTTTATTCTCTCCAACCTTCACCTCTGCCCAAGGGCAGATAATCCCAAACATCATTTCATTTCAAACCACCAGAAAATAAACATAACTTGCTTTTTTTCCCTTTGTGAAATTTACATTGAAATATACATAACTTCAAAATGTACTCCGTTTTGCTACGCTACAGAACCATAGCTAGGCTCGTTAAAGTATTGTTTCTAATAAATGGACGATGGTGTGAAAAGACAACAGACCCGATGCCCACAGCTTTACTTCAGGGGGTGCAGAGCTCCGTAAATTTTCGAAACTGTTTTCACAAATATTTCATTATTTATCTCTTGTTACCATTCATGGTTGCTGATACAGATTAATGCTTAATTCCAACCATAACTGTATTTATCCCATGATACATTGTGACATAATGCAATATGACATAACAACAAATAAACGAAATAAAACTGTCAATATGACACAAAAAATACCTGTCACATTATTACTTCTCTCAAAATGTGCACCAAATGTAACCTGTAATAGTTTAGGGATTCAGAGGCGGGATTCATGGGGTTAAGCCCCCCCCCCCACACACACACACACCTACACCACCCAAACCCCCAACCCCCACCACCCTACCCCACAACCAGTTAAAACGTCCCTGTCCAGTTCTTTTGAGAAAAACTAGATCCGCCTCTGATTGGTAAAGATATATCCAATAAAATTGACACACAATACTTTTTTCCACATGGACATTTAACGCAAAATCATTCTCGAGGCAAATACATGTACATTGTAGTTGATATTTTTTATTTTTCATTGTTCATGACTAAGGCCTCTTCATTCATATCAATTATCCTGTTTTCATATAAAAAAGGTGTAGGTCTATGTAATGTACGTGGTGGTGAGTATTAAGTGTAGTATATTTAAGAAATAAACGTCGAGTGGGAGTTGTTTATCGTACAATAAAACACTGCAGGGAGATTAAACCACGAGGGGAGCAATAAACCACTCTTCGTTCTTCTTTGCGATTTATCACGTAGCTATATTATATTCTAGTTTAAATGAGGTTTCAAATTATTTTAGGGCTTTCAGATACTGTGCAATCAGAAGATTCTAAACTTCAAGTCCAGTTTATTAAAGACGTCCCAATAATGAGGCTTCCAACCCCCTTTGGGTTCGCGGGATTCAGCGGTCTATTTAGAGGGTATTCGGTACTCAGCGATGTGGTACGGGGGACTCATATAAAATCGTATGTGGTATGCAGATTCAACATTTATATTAAAAAAATAATGGTGTACGCAAAAGTTTCCTTTATATGTTTACGTTTTGCTCGATATTTTATCATAAATTTTACTGGCAATCGCACCCTTTTGAGATTTGTGTTGAGTAGTATATATTCTGGTTTCAGGGGTGAGCCTCGGAGTGAAACATTAGATGGTATTCGGGATTCAGGGGAGGAGGGGTTGGCACCCTGAAAAATGTAGAACAATTCACCCTACATGTTTTGTGAATACAATATGAGAGACCCTTCTAGCGGAATCAGACATGGGTTTCAAGTACGCAAGACCAGGAACTGAATATGTAAATTTATGTACACCTCAATTGTGCCAAATATAAAACCCGATATATACAATATAGCATGTAGTCTGATTAATGTGCATGGTTCTTTGTAATTTATTGTAGGGAGGTAGTCAGTCATGGCTTAATGCAACAACGAATGCTAAATATATCTTTATAACCAAGTTCGTTTAGTTTGTCTGGATCTTATTGATAGATGCTTCAAAATGCAGGAATCTAAATCGGCCTGTTCGCTTTGACTTAAGGAAATGAGGCTTGGTACTTTTGTGTGATAAACTAGCACACCACCACGCCTACACAAAACCAAATTTTGCGTCTTCAATACGCTGAGAATATCGGAAAATCACTTCATCGTCATGAAGAATAATACACTGTAAACGAAACATTGGCGGACATCTCTCCACCATGACGTCACAGCTACAGCTCGGCCCCCAGCTGGGATTTTAATCAGGGATCAGGGCAGTTGCTTGTTGTTTTTAAGAGAACAGTGAAATCACATATGATTCTTTTTTGGTGTAAATATGTACTTTGTAAGACTCTTTAACTAACATGTTTTCAAAAGTGTTTTTTTTCAATATATCTCCTTTAAGCATGTGCCTGGACCTCGGAATTAAAGGGATAAAACAAGGACTGGTCGGTTCGGAGATTGTTCACAGGACAGACGGACCGCCTCCTTGGTCGAGTGGGTAGAGCATCTGCCCGGAGAGTGGAAGGTAGCGGGTTCGATCCCCGTCCGCGTCAAACGAAAGACGTTGAAATGTGGTACTTGTTTCCCTGCATGGTACATTATGGAGATGAAACATTTCGTTTGTTTGTTTGTTTGCTTCTTAACGCCGCACTCAGCAATATTCCGGCTATATGTCGCTATGCAGAGTTGCGTCCCTTGGACACGCCAGAAAACTATGATTGTGGGATCGAATCCCGGTTCGCCCCGATTATGTTTCTAGGTTTGTCAGCACCATACCCGTGCTCGTGGGTTTCACCGAAGTGGTAAACGTCTGAGACCTGCATCACTTCGGGCTTTCCTCCCAAATTAAGCTGACACTGATATAACTGGAATAATGTTAAAAGCGGCGTTAAACCCAACTCATTCACTCACTCCAACCACGACGGTGGTCTGGACCAGATCAAGTGATTGATATCATGAGCATCGATCTACGCAATTGGGATACGCTGACATGCATCAACATCAGTCGCCTCTTATGATAAGCATCGTCCCCTTTTACCACAAGCATGGGTTGCTGAAGACCTATTCTACCCCGGATCTTCGGGGGGTAACAATGCTATACCTGCGACATGGTATCCATAGCATCATAAAACCGACAGAAGTCCTCTCTCTCTCTCTCTCTCTCTCTCTCTCACACACACACACACACACACATCGCTATATATGTGCAATTAAATGCGATCTAAAATCACATTTCACTTCACCCAGAATCACCTCATCTATTATTTAAGGTGAGGTGAGGAGAAATGGGATTTACAGTGCATTCAAGAAGATTGTTGGTTGCACTAATACAGCAGTGTGTGCGTGCGTGCGTGCATGTGTGTGTGCGTGCATGTGTGTGTGCGTGTGTGTGTGTGTGTGTGTGTGTGTGTGCGTGTGCGTGCGTACTACTCCGACTAAAGTCGGTTTTATACTGCTTGCCCACTGAGATACCATGTGTCAGTTTACCATGGATACCTCACTCAGACACAGTAGACTGACTTGTTTTATTTCTTTAATGGCAAATTAATGCTGAGTGTCAGGCAGAGTAACAAGTTGCATGTTTTAAAGTCTATCGATTTTTTAATTGCCCGGGGATCGAACCACCGACCTCTCTTCTGGGCAGACGTCTATCCACCAGACAAGACAACGGAGGCGGTACCTCTTGAAGCAAGCACTGGGATACAGGGTAAGATAAATGAAGGGTGTTAAATGTGCAGTCAGCAGCAACAGTTCAGCTCCACAACAGGAGCCAGGTCACACTTGTAACCACCCAATCCACACCCTTGACCTTCCCCATGGCAGCCGATGACCTTGCCTTACCTTGAACCCTTGCACTACAAGGTCACGGAATTTCCACTATTTATGATGTTATTAAATTACAACAAAGCAAGTCAGATTAAGAAAAATAATCTTTATTCATATATTTATTGCACCTGGTACGAGTATTGTGCGACGGGGGAGTTTCAGGGTGTGTGTGTGACACTGACAGCATACACCAGCTGGTAAACAGTGGCTAGATCTTGCTAAGGCCCAGCCAAACACCCCTCAAAACAGAGCAAATAATTAGTAGATTGATTCTCCATACAGAGTTATGTCCCCTGCTCTTGGGAAAAGGAAAAGCTCTCTTGAGCTATCCTCTACTATCCAACCCCTCCCCACCCCAAAAGTAAAAGAATTTATAGAGTTATCTATATGGTAAGGACACAAGCCCCTGTTTACAGAAACACATGGTTTCTTAGAATAATCCCTTTTCATTATGAGTTGGGTTTAACTCCACTATGAACAGTATCTAGTTACATCACTTAATGTGGAAGGAAAGCCCGAAGTGAAGCAGGTCTTGGACGTTTCCCACTTTTGTGAAATCCACAAGCAGGGACATGGTGCTGACAAACCTAGAAACATAATCGGGCATCCCAGAATTCTAACCCACGGTCATAGGTTTCTGACATGCCCAGGGGACACAACTCTGCACGTTAGACAACTGGGACACCTGTTCCTCATTTTCCTCATGAACATTTGATGGGATATACTTGTTTAATTTTTGACAGGGAGGTAATGTATACAGGATATAAACATACATGACACTTATCACAAACTCACCGACAAAACATGAGTGATTCAAAATACCAGGAAGACAAAGACATCCATGTCCTCCTATTAGAAAAGCAATTGTAATAAAACACTTGATGACTATAAAGAACTTCTTAAACAGAATACAAACTTAATTCAGCTGCATGGTATTAAGTCATTGAACATGATAGTGGCGTTGAAGTAGAGTAGGTCCCTACAAGGCTGTGACACGTGTTGTATGAGGAATATTCGTGTTTGTGGAGAAGGATATCAAGTATTTGACATTCCATCCATATTTCATATTATTTCTCACTCAAACTGATATAAAGATATTGTTAACAAAATAACCCTAATCATATTAATTGTTATGGTATTAATAATTCAAATGAGAAAGGCCATTCTAACTTTCACTTATTAATCTACCAACCAATACTCAGGACTGTGCCAACATTGTGGCATTCGTTATCAAGGACGTAATGATACACCCAAACTGATGTGCTCCATGATACATGGTCTTCAATACAAGACACGATACATATGGACCTATATCATGATACAAGACTATCCAAAATGTAGTATTAAATAGAAATGAGATCTGAGACAGAATCATGAGAGTATTGTGTGCATCAGGATAGTTTTTCTTTAACATTAAAGATATATAATGTAACATAATATACATGCTCTATATTACATGAACACTGTATATCAGTATGTTCTATATCACACTGGCATGGGAGTATATCAATGTATAACACATCATAAATATACATAAATACAATGTACATCTAATTCTATTGAACTTTCATAAGTAAACATCAACATGACACCCACAGGCTCACTCACGCAGACCCACAGTCACTCACACAGTCAGAGACCCACACAGGCTCACAGAGACCCACATTCACCAACACAGGCTCAAAGAAACCCACATTCACTCACATAAACCCACAGTCACTCACAGTCAGTGACCCACAAAGGTTCACAGAGACCCAGTCACCCACACAGGCTCACAGAGACCCACATTCACCAACACAGGCTTACAGAGACCCACAGTCACCAACACAGGCTTACAGAGATCCACATTCACCAACACAGAGACCCACACAGGCTCACAGAGACCCACATTCACCAACACAGGCTTACAGAGACCCACAGTCACCAACACAGGCTTACAGAGATCCACATTCACCAACACAGTCAGAGACCCACACAGGCTCACAGAGACCCACATTCACCAACACAGGCTTACAGAGACCCACAGTCACCAACACAGGCTTACAGAGATCCACATTCACCAACACAGTCAGAGACCCACACAGGCTCACAGAGACCCACAGTCACCAACACAGGCTTACAGAGACCCACAGTCACTCACACCGACTCACAGAGACCCACACAGGCTCACAAAGACCCACAGGCTCACATAGACTCACAGGCTCACAGAGACCCACAGTCACACACAGACTCACAAAGACCCACAGGCTCAAAGAGACCCACAGAGGCTCATAAAGACCGATGGGGTCACAGAGACCCGTAGTCACCAACACAGGCTCACAAAGACCCAAAAAGACCCACAGAGGCTCACGAAAAACCACAGTCACACACACACAGGTTCAAAGACACAGACAGAGACCACAAACCGTCTGTATTTTCCGAGATAATAACTGAATAGAAAGCTACGGGGGTAGATTGTTTTTTTTCTATGTGTGCATGTTACCATGGCAACAGTTCAAAAGAAACCAATACAAAGTTCAACTGAGTACCAAGGCAGGTATATCCTGGCAACGGCTGTCTGGAATGTATCAACCATGACATGGTAGCAGTGTGGATCTGTTGTCATGGTGATTGCTGCAATATAATCTGTTGTCATGGAGACGGCTGCAAGAACCCATCACACGTTGGCATGGATGACATTGGTTTCTGCCAACATGGCCACCACAATGAAGACCCCGTATAGGATAAAGAGGAATATTCCGTACGGCCTTGACATTCGGAACTTGGACAGAGGCACAATGATGAGTGAGGACACAAGACTGAGACAGAGGAAGCCAGCGAGGATCAGCTCCACCAGCGTCAGTCGAAGCTGCAACACGCACAAGACGGTCTCTATTGTACATCGTCCAATCAAACAATAGTTAATAATTCTAATAATGCTACCTCTGTAACATCAGTGCCAAACATTCTGTATTTTGGCTGTCATCACATAATAAAAGTCTTCTTCAATGTCAACTATCCATAATCAGTTGTGCAGACAATAGTATCAACCTGCCCAAAGACTCTTGCGCATGCACAAGGTGGTAAACATCACGTCTTTCCTGTGTGAGCGAGCAACACCTGAATTTTTCTGTTTTGTCTTGAACACTAGTGGTAGTTTTTCTCACTGTAATTAAGTGGTATCGGTAAGCAGCCCCCATCACGACCTTTGTCTGAACGCCCGTAAACTCTCCCATCCGAAACATGCATCATGAACCATGTTGGCTTCACTAAACCAGGTGACAGCTGACCACACTAAGATCTACCTAGGTACATCTTGGATCACTAATGTTTGCTAATGCAGGACAACTTAGTGCATAGATCAATGCTCATGATGTCAATCACTGGACTATCTTGTCAAGACTCGATTAATAACACACTGCCATCATATAGCTGGAATATTGCTTAGTTGGTTAATTGTCAAGTTGGTTAATTCACTGCAGGTTTTATACTGGCCAAGGGACACAACTCTGCACACCGTGACCACCACATCCCCCATGCCACAAGTTTGTTCACCACATCAGGTAAAACCAAGAAGAGTATTAGGTTTCTAGTCTTTTGGTTTGGCCTAAAACAATCAGAGTGACAGCTATTATTTTTTTGCTTTATGCTGTATTTCTAAGCTATACATTTTTAGACATACTCATTTGCATGACATCGACAATCCTCGTATTCTGGAGGAATAATGTAGTAGTCTCCGGTACCAAAATGCTCTTTTCACTGCGATTCATAAATGTTCACAAGGGTGGTGTCAAAATTGCAATCACGAAGTGCTAATAGATCTCGACACACACAATCTGCATCCACATGGGTCTTGTGCAGTTTGTACTTCGATTGTTTTTTTGTTTTTCGGGAAGGCAGGTACGAGTTGCCCAAAAACAAAAGCCCAATGTGTGGGGATAAAAGTGATACAAAAAGGGGCCTTGGCCCGATGTTTATACATTCATGTCCATTTAGTGTTGCATATTCTAATAGCAGACACAACAATAGTTATAACACAAGACAACAATGGCTACGACACAAGACCCACCTCGTAGTTGCCTCCCCTCTTGAACGTCCCAATAGTGAAGGGGATTCCGATGCCAAGCAACATGTCTGCCGCTGATAAGGACGGGATATACTCATGTGAAACTGTAAACCAAACTTCAAACTCCTTCCATACATTTAATGATCCTAATGAGCAGGTTCAAGCTGTAGAGAGTTTGAAATAGATCGAATTTCACTTTCCCACTTTTGTGTAACAGGTGATCAGCTAATCTCAATATTACATTCTGGACAGCTGTGGGGGGATTTGGGGTTGGAATTGGTCGTCCAAGGCGATGGGGGGGTCGGACTCGGTCATAAGACAACAAGAAACATGTTGGACAAGGATACTGAACAGTGGCCCACCGAAGCAGGCCGAGATGCCCATCCTGGGGTACCCTTGCCGCGCCATGGCGAAGTCAGCTATGAGATCTGCAAGTTCAAAGAACAAACATCATTTAACAGACACAACCATCAGCATTACAATCATCATCGTTACAACCATCAACGTTACAACCTTCAGCGTTACAACCATTGCCTCACAACATCAGCATTAACAGCGTTACAACCATTGCCTCACAACATCAGCATTACCACCTTCAGCGTTACAACCATCAACGTTACAACCATCAGCATTACAATCATCTGTGTTAAACCTACAGCATTATAATAATCTGGATTACAACCATCAACGTTACAACCATCAACGTTACAACCTTCAGCGTTACAACCATTGCCTCACAACATCAGCATTACAATCATCATCGTTACAACCATCAACGTTACAACCTTCAGCGTTACAACCATTGCCTCACAACATCAGCATTACAATCATCATCGTTACAACCATCAACGTTACAACCTTCAGCGTTACAACCATTGCCTCACAACATCAGCATTACCACCTTCAGCGTTACAACCATCAACGTTACAACCATCAGCATTACAATCATCTGTGTTAAACCTACAGCATTATAATAATCTGGATTACAACCATCAACGTTACAACCATCTGTATTACAACCATCTGTGTTACAACCATCTGTGTTACAACCTTCTGCATTACAATAATCTGTATTACAACCGTTACAACCCTCTGCGTTACAACCATCTGCGTTACAATAATCTGTATAACAACCATCATCTATTCCCTGAGAATAATATACTCCCCACAAAAAGAAAAGCAAATACCATGCATGTTGGTTAAAATATGAAGAATTACTCATATTCAAGAGATATTAGATTGGTTCGATGCACAAACAAACATACTGGCATGTTGTGTGACTCGACCGATGGTCATTGGCGCATCACATGTGACATGTGAGATATGTACAAGGCTTAGAGAAACTGAAGGATACCCACTCTCATGATGATAACAAATATGCTCCATCATGTCAGAATCTTAGCTAGCGGAATTTCAGATTTTTGATCCACTCAATATTACGAGTGAAGGACGCAAACAAATTCCACTCTTTAAATAGATATTAATTGTCAATGCAAGTGAATAACCAGCATAGATTTTCTGCCGAAACAGATCCCACTTGGCATGAAGGGCAAATAGCTGTGGAAATTATATGAATGGATCACTGAAAATGAGTGATGACACCAGGTGTTCACAAAAAGGGTAGCATGTCCTGCTCTACCTGTAGCACCCGCCATTCAGACAATTTGCATAAAAAAGTAAGTATCTACTGGCTGACGTAGCACAGCAGCACTTCCGCCAGGCGATGTGAGCTTGTAAACAAACCACACAATCCTACCACCCCCACACCTGTCACCCCCTGCCTCCAGACTCACCTCCGACACTGTTGCCCCAGGCCAGGAACGTCAGCCCCAGGATAGCATTACTGATGTTGAACACTATGCCAAACGTCTGAAACGAATAAACAAATAAAGTAAAGCCCCAAATAACGTTCTTTTGTTGCTTTCAAAATCAGAGTTATCTCCCTTGTCCCATTGCTTGCGGCTCTTGTATTGAGTCATGTGGAAGAACTTAAATTATTGATGAAAATAAGTGTTGTTTTTCATTTTATTATGATCAAGCATTCTTTTTACATATAAAAATGATGTATTACAGTTTGTGCAGGAACAAGGAATCCATATTAGTTTTGGCACAAAGCTGACGAGGTAAGGATGTCATCTGTGGGATGACTCCATGCCCTGCTACACTGACAAGGTAAGGATTTCATCTGTGGGATGACTCCACTACCTGCTACACTGACAAGGTAAGGATGTCATCTGTGGGATGACTCCATGCCCTGCTACACTGACAAGGTAAGGATGTCATCTGTGGGATGACTCCATGCCCTGCTACACTGACAAGGTAAGGCTGTCATCTGTGGGATGACTCCACGCCCTTGTTGCACTGACAAGGTAAGGATGTCATCTGTGGGATGACTCCATGCCCTGCTACACTGACAGGGTAAGGATGTCATCTGTGGGATGACTCCACACCCTTGTTGCACTGACAAGGTAAGGATGTCATCTGTGGGATGACTCCACGCCCTGCTGCACTGAAAAGGTAAGGCTGTCATCTGGGGGATGACTCCATGCCCTGCTGCACTGACAAGGTAAGGATGTCATCTGTGGGATGACTCCACGCCCTTGTTGCACTGACAAGGTAAGGATGTCATCTGTGGGATGACTCCACGCCCTGCTACAATGACAAGGTAAGGATATCATCTGTGGGATGACTCCACGCCCTTCTATACTGACAAGGTAAGGATGTCATCTGTGGGATGACTCCACGCCCTTGTTGCACTGACAAGGTAAGGATGTCATCTGTGGGACATTATACGGGAGGTGTTGAGTTCAAGGTTAGTGCATTTATATAGTCACTTGCATGCATGAGTGTGTGTGATGGCTTGTACTAGTCGACTGATTTGTTTTTGTGCAAGTTTTATAGTGCCAGCCCACTGAGATACCATGCTGCAGTTTAATATGAATACCCCACTCAAACACAGTATACTGACTCTGAGCAGACCAGTCCTTGTTTTAGCCCTTTAATGCCAAGTGCCAGGCAGGGTAACAACAAGTACCATCTTTTAACGTTTGGGGTATGATATGGTCAGGGGTTTGAACCACCAACCTTCCGCTCTCCGGGCAAATACTCTCTCCACTAGACCTCAGAGACCACTAGATCAATGATATGTCATATATGACTGTTATGGAACTTTGTCTATAAAATCAAGCAAACAAGGATTTGAGAATTTGAGATTTAAGAACATGAGATTTGACATATTTCCAGCTTACCTGCAGAATGTTGACAATCTCGTTAGCGACGGAGTAGATCCAGACGACAGCGACAACGAAACCCAAGTAGGCAAACACCTGCAACACAGCAACAACCAACAATGATACCAACATAACCAGGCGATCTTCTAGTTACAACCCTGTAATACCATCTGACTGTGAAGAGTTGTGTCTCCTAGTTACAACCCTGTACTACCATCTGACTGTGCAGAGTCGTGTCCCCTAGTTACAACCCTGTACTACCATCTGACTGTGCAGAGTCGTATCCCCTAGTTACAACCCTGTAATACCATCTGACTGTGCAGTGTCGTATCCCCTAGTTACAACCCTGTAATACCATCTGACAGTGAAGAGTTGTGTCCCCTAGTTACAACCCTGTACTACCATCTGACTGTGCAGAGTCGTATCCCCTAGTTACAACCCTGTACTACCATCTGACTGTGCAGAGTCGTGTCCCCTAGTTACAACCCTGTACTACCATCTGACTGTGCAGAGTCGTGTACCCTAGTTACAACCCTGTACCACCATCTGGCTGTGAAGAGTTGTGTCCCCTAGTTACAACCCTGTACTGCCATCTGACTGTGAAGAGTTGTGTCCCCTAGTTACAACCCTGTACTGCGATCTGACTGTGAAGAGTTGTGTCCCCTAGTTACAACCCTGTACTGCCATCTGACTGTGAAGAGTTGTGTCCCCTAGTTACAACCCTGTACTGCCATCTGACTGTGAAGAGTTGTGTCCCCTAGTTACAACCCTGTACTGCCATCTGACTGTGAAGAGTTGTGTTCCCTAGTTACAACCCTGTACTACCATCTGACTGTGCAGTGTCGTATCCCCTAGTTACAACCCTGTACTACCATCTGACTGTGCAGAGTTGTGTCCCCTAGTTACAACCCTGTACTACCATCTGGCTGTGCAGTGTCGTATCCCCTAGTAACAACCCTGTACTGCCATCTGACTATGCAGAGTCGTGTCCCCTAGTTACAACCCTGTACTACCATCTGACTGTGAAGAGTTGTGTCCCCTAGTTACAACCCTGTACTGCCATCTGACTGTGAAGAGTTGTGTCCCCTAGTTACAACCCTGTACTGCCATCTGACTGTGCAGTGTCGTATCCCCTAGTTACAACCCTGTACTAGCATCTGACTGTGAAGAGTTGTGTCCCCTAGTTACAACCCTGTACTGCCATCTGACTGTGAAGAGTTGTGTCCCCTAATTACAACCCTGTACTACCATCTGACTGTGAAGAGTTGTGTCCCCTAGTTACAACCCTGTACTGCCATCTGACTGTGAAGAGTTGTGTCCCCTAGTTACAACCCTGTACTGCCATCTGACTGTGAAGAGTTGTGTCCCCTAGTTACAACCGTGTACTACCATCTGACTGTGCAGTGTCGTATCCCCTAGTTACAACCCTGTACTGCCATCTGACTGTGAAGAGTTGTGTCTCCTAGTTACAACCCTGTACCGCCATCTGACTGTGAAGAGTTGTGTCCCCTAGTTACAACCCTGTACTACCATCTGACTGTGCAGTGTCGTATCCCCTAGTTACAACCCTGTACTGCCATTTGACAGTGCAGAGTTGTGTCCCCTAGTTACAACCCTGTACTACCATCTGACTGTGAAGAGTCGTATCCCCTAATTACAACCCTGTACTACCATCTGGCTGTGAAGAGTTGTGTCCCCTAGTTACAACCCTGTACTGCCATCTGACTGTGAAGAGTCGTATCCCCTAATTACAACCCTGTACTACCATCTGGCTGTGAAGAGTTGTGTCCCCTAGTTACAACCCTGTACTGCCATCTGACTGTGAAGAGTTGTGTCCCCTAGTTACAACCCTGTACTGCCATCTGACTGTGAAGAGTTGTGTCCCCTAGTTACAACCCTGTACTACCATCTGACTGTGCAGTGTCGTATCCCCTAGTTACAACCCTGTACTACCATCTGACTGTGCAGTGTCGTATCCCCTAGTTACAACCCTGTACTACCATCTGACTGTGCAGTGTCGTATCCCCTAGTTACAACCCTGTACTACCATCTGACTGTGCAGTGCCGTATCCCCTAGTTACTGTACTGCCATCTGACTGTGAAGAGTTGTGTGCCTTAGTTACAACCCTGTACTGCCATCTGACTGTGCAGTGTCGTATCCCCTAGTTACAACCCTGTACTACCATCTGACTGTGCAGAGTTGTGTCCCCTAGTTACAACCCTGTACTGCCATCTGACTGTGAAGAGTTGAGGCCCCTAGTTACAACCCTGTACTACCATCTGGCTGTGCAGAGTTGTGTCACCTAGTTACAACCCTGTACTACCATCTGACTGTGCAGAGTTGTGTCCCCTAGTTACAACCCTGTACTGCCATCTGACTGTGAAGAGTTGTGTCCCCTAGTTACAACCCTGTACTACCATCTGACTGTGCAGTGTCGTATCCCCTAGTTACATCCCTGTACTGCCATCTGACTGTGAAGAGTTGTGTCCCCTAGTTACTGTACTGCCATCTGACTGTGAAGAGTTGTGTCCCCTAGTTACTGTACTACCATCTGACTGTGAAGAGTTGTGGCCCATAGTTACTGTACTGCCATCTGACTGTGAAGAGTTGTGTCCCCTAGTTACTGTACTGCCATCTGACTGTGAAGAGTTGTGTCTCCTAGTTACAACCCTGTACTACCATCTGACTGTGCAGTGTCGTATCCCCTAGTTACAACCCTGTACTGCCATCTGACTGTGCAGTGTCGTATCCCCTAGTTACTGTACTGCCATCTGACTGTGAAGAGTTGTGTCCCCTAGTTACAACCCTGTACTTCCATCTGACTGTGAAGAGTTGTGGCCCATAGTTACAACCCTGTACTACCATCTGGCTGTGCAGAGTTGTGTCCCCTAGTTACAACCCTGTACTGCCATCTGACTGTGAAGAGTTGTGTCCCCTAGTTACAACCCTGTACTGCCATCTGACTGTGCAGTGTCGTATCCCCTAGTTACAACCCTGTACTAGCATCTGACTGTGAAGAGTTGTGTCCCCTAGTTACAACCCTGTACTGCCATCTGACTGTGAAGAGTTGTGTCCCCTAATTACAACCCTGTACTGCCATCTGACTGTGAAGAGTTGTGTCCCCTAGTTACAACCCTGTACTGCCATCTGACTGTGAAGAGTTGTGTCCCCTAGTTACAACCCTGTACTACCATCTGACTGTGCAGAGTTGTGTCCCCTAGTTACAACCCTGTACTGCCATCTGACTGTGAAGAGTTGTGTCCCCTAGTTACAACCCTGTACTACCATCTGACTGTGAAGGGTTGTGTCCCCTAGTTACAACCCTGTACTGCCATCTGACTGTGAAGAGTTGTGTCCCCTAGTTACAACCCTGTACTGCCATCTGACTGTGAAGAGTTGTGTCCCCTAGTTACAACCCTGTACTGCCATCTGACTGTGCAGAGTCGTGTCCCCTAGTCCTGTTAGTGGTAACAGGTGAGGTAAGGTGAGGTAAGGTGAGGTGAAATGGGGTTTAATGTCACGTCCAAGATTATTGCACTTATATTTAGTGTGTGTCTTCTTGTACTAGTCCGGACTAATGCCGATTTATAGTGCTAGCCCACTGAGATACCATGCCGCAGTTTAACATGAATACCCCACTCAGACACAGTATACTGACTCCGAGCCAACCAGTCCTTGTTTTAGACCCTTTATGCCGAGCGCCAGACAGGGTAACACCAAGTGCCATCTTTTAACGTCTTTTGGTATGACACGGCCGGGGATCGAACCCTGGACTTTCCACTCTCTGGGGCGGACGCTCTACCACGAGACCACGGAGGTGGTTGTTAGTGGTAACAGTTCTGGGTTCAAATCCTGTATGAGTGAGTGAGATAAGTAGTTTGCCTACAAACAGGGGTCATCTTGTAGTTTAGTAATCAAATAATAATTTGAGTATTTATTTACTCACCTGTTTCACTCACATTGGGTATTGATAGTTTTCTTTGGCATTCAAAATAGTATTACTCCCTTGGTCCAGTCTAATGAGTATGTTTAAACAAGCAAATAAAACCTCTTTCAAAATAAAAACTGCTTAAGTACTGCTTCGGTTGACTTCTAATTAGCAGCTGTTCATGTTTCGCCCCAAATGTCACATTATCTCTAAATGATGAGTGAGTGAGTGAGTTGGGTTTAACGCCGCTTTTAACAGTATTCCAGTTATATCACGGCGTGTCAGCTTAATGTGGGAGGAAAGCCCGAAGTGATGCAGGTCTAAGACGTTTACCACTTCGGTGAAACCCACGAGCACGGGTATGGTGCTGACAAACCTAGAAACATAATCGGGGCGAACCGGGATTCGAACTCACAATCATAGGTTTCTGGCGTGCCCAAGGGACGCAACTCTGCACAGCGAATCGCGGCGTTTTAGACAACTGGGCCACCCGTGCCCCCTCTAAATGATGAAAAGCGAGACATTTCCTCTGTGCATTGTACACAGCAGTAGTGTCTATGTAAACACGATGACTGCATTCAATCAGTAAATATAGGTATGTGAAAAAATACATGCACGTAAACTTAATGACACACTGTTGAAACTCATTGTTCGTACATATTTGCATGCAAACAAGTCAAAATTATTGGGTAATGATTATTTATTTTGAGTAGTTCAAGTAAATACAAGCTGGGGCTCTGTGAATTGACTCAAACTTTAAATGAGAAACAAGACTTAAGTGATGCGGCAGAGGGACTCACTGCGTGGAATCTGGGCTTGTTGTCGTTCCCCGTGACACAAAAGACTGTGAGGCTGAGGACGGCCCCCACGACCATCACCAGGCCCCACATAGGGAACACACCGCCCAGCTTCATAAACCCAACTGCAAATACAAGAATTTAATCAGCTGATAATATCAACTCCACCTCCAGAGGAACATGGCACATGTGATAAAAACGGGCATTGATGAGTGAGTGAGTGAGTGAGTGAGTGTGTGTGTGAGTGAGTGAGTGAGTGAGTGAGTGAGTGAGTGAGTGAGTGTGTGTGAGTGAGTGAGTGAGTGAGTGAGTGAGTGTGGGTGGGTGGTTGAGTGGTTGAGTGAGTGAGTGAGTGAGTGAGTGAGTGAGCATGGTTTTAACCAATATTCCAGCAATATCACAACGGGGGACACCAGACATGGACTTCACACACTGTACTTTGTGGAGAATAGAACCCAGGCCTTCTGAGTGACGAGTGAATGCTTTAACCACTAGGCTACCCCATTGCCCCCGTATGTAAATTGAAGTGAAGGCTAAGAGATATTCTTGATTCTCAGACACTGGTGACACTATGTGAGTCTCTGACATACATGGTTGCGACACAAGATGACACCCAGCCTACATGGGGCATTACTACAACACAAACTGAGATCAGTGTATACACTGCATTGCGGGACACTTGTAGTGTCTGGAATAACCGCCTGCCCGTCTGCCCGGGGTTGGTAACCTTTCTGTCGGGCTGCATGATATTTATGCTCCACCCGCCCAACAGTCTGGCAGATAATTTTAAGAGTGAGTGAGTGAGTTTGATTTTACACCGCTTTTAGCAATATTGCAGCAATATCACCTTGGGGGACACCAGAAATGAGATTCATTGTACCCATTTGGGGAATCGAACCAGGGTCTTCGGTGTGATGAGTAAACGCTTTATCCACTAGGCTACCCCACAAACCCCAATAACTTTATACTGCTTAGGTATACAGTTTTTCATTAGAACTCGTTGTAGATTCTCAAGTTTGCATTATTTCAACTGATAAGTTTTTCCAATGTTTCAAATTTATTTGTGTCCTGCGTACCACACTACTGAGTCCTGAATACCTTCGAAATAGCCCACCCGAATCCTGTGTACCAGTAGGGGGTCTCAGTCACATGCATGCATTTCAATACTCCCATCTCAGGACAAAGACATACTACAAGTCTTCTCACCTTTTCAGGGGCTATATTTTAGTCTAAATACGCAACCGTATTCACCATATTAAGCGCACCACTCCAATAAGCACCCCTGACCAACATCAATCTGACATGTACACTTGATAAGCATCCCACACTAAGCCCCAAAATTCACATGACAATCTATATTTTCTTCTGTACAGTATTTTCTTGAGTATATTGCGCACCCATGTATAATGTGCATGCCCCTCTAGCGGATTCAGTATTTTGGAGAAAAAAAAATCGAATGTCAAGCGCAGAAAAAAAATACACCATAGATCTACCCCTTCAGCGAATTCCGGTAAACGAACGGGTGATGAGAAACTTGGTCAGTACAAATTCAAAATTTGAGATAAAAAATCACCAGACATGTTTTTTTACCGTTTAAATTGAATTTTTTGTTCTGCTAGACATTGTTTTACATCCAGAGATTAAGATTACCTAGTGTATTTTCTCGTAAACTAAGCCGGAAACAGCAATCAGCTGTACACACGTTTTCTTGGAATCTACCGGTGATTCGGTCAAGACACACCCAATGATATAGCTTAACAGGATAGAATAGAATCGTCAAACTATAACAAATATGACTTTTAACGAGTCAAAGTATGGCATTTATGATATATGTAGCCATTCTCAGTCAACTAATGTTCGTTTCAAGGCGTCAATAGCGGATATCTGACCATGGTTGCTGTTAATAACGCTGAGTTGTGCGATCTTCACACACGATTTCGCCGAAATTAATTAAAACAATATCAAAAGGAATTTTGAATAAAATTAATGAAATAAGTTACATATATAGGTCCAGATATACAAAGAACACTTTTTATAGCCAGACAGTGTAATTACATGATTAATTTGCGTACTTCAGTATGGATTTGTTGACATGGTATTTCCGGTGTTACGTGCTCACGGTAATATCTTTTCATAGGGAAAAAAACATCAAAACTCATTAGTTCACGTATAGTGCGCACCCCCTTCTACACAGCTGTGTTTTTGGGGAAAAAAGTGTGCACTATACTCAAGAAAATACGGTATGTCACAGATCTTTTTACAGAAATAATACTATTCAGTGTAGTTAAACTAGTGTAGGCAGTATATATAATTGGCTGACACTATTATCAATTTTATTTTAAGCTTAATCAACATATGTCACCTACAGCTCAATCAGACAAGTTTAACTTGTGTATGGTTTTAATAAGCTTCTTGTGAATTTCTTAAGTGCCGAAAACGCTTACTACGACGGATACAGTAATTATGAGTTTTACAAGCAGACTTGACACCTGTGCACACGACCAAATCATGTTGTTCTGGGACAAGCCAAATAGCAACTCATGTCCCTCTTGTTGCCATCTTAGTAACTGGGTGACACACTTAAACGGGCACAGCTAAAAGAATTGTCAACTCGTTGCGTAATAATTCACATATATTTCCCACATGTCAAATATATTCCAGATGCTATTGAAACACATCGAGACTTACTGTATTTATACAGTATGATTGAACTGTATCTAGGGTATATGTTTAGATGCAAGACATGTGTAAAATAAAAATCCTGAGGGATTCTTTGACCGAAGTACTTGAAGTCATACGCACATTCTGATTGTTTGGTCGAATATGGCATATATCATTCATTGATAGGGGAACAAGTCTTGCAGGTTACGGGGGGGCAAGTGGTGATGAAGGAGTGTCTACCTTTAGTAGCGAGAACTCCGAACACAGGCCCAGTGAGGCAGTGTAGGGAGTTGAGGTGTCTGTTCCAGTTGTGGTTGTCGTCGCCGCAGTCGTAGTCCACCACAGGGATGGTGAGTTTCAGCAACAGCAGGATTGGGCACTGCACAACACAGACACAAGTCTATAGTACAAAATTGGGACTACCGGGTTTTTTAGGGAATGCAGGATGTTTAAATTCAAACTCAGATGACGCTCAATGAGTTAGTTTAACACAACTAATTCCAGCGAGATATTCTACTTCTATTACATCATTGCCATAAATCCTGCATGTTGGCTGTCATCAAACTATAAAAACCACGAGATTTTCAACAAAAGTTCTCTTCACTGTCAACTATCCATAATCAGTTGTGCAGATAATAGTATCCTGTTGCCCAATGCTCTTGCGCACTACAACTTTTAGAGTATTCAAGCTTAATATTCACTGTGAGAGACACCAGAAATGGGTTCCACTCATTGCACCCATGTGCAAAATCTAACCCAGAGAGTAAACATAATCGTGGAGATTCGAATTCAAAACAAGAAAGCCATGCCATTAGCTGTTTATTGTCTTGGGTATTTTATACATCTTGACATTTGTGAGAACTATAGCATCCATACCCAAAAGGGTTCAGTACGGACGGTATATTAGTGTCTGATTGGCTCAAGGAGCCATACATCCTTCACTTACGGTTGGCCTGACACGACCTCTCTTGGACGGATACTCCCGTCTTCAAGGAGAGCGGTATAGTATCGGATTGAGAGTGTGAATATGGTTTTACGCTGCTTTTAGCAATATTTTAGCAATATCACAGCAGGGGACACCAGAAATGGGCTTCACACATTATACCCATGTGGGGAATCAAACCCGGGTCTTGGGTGTGACAAGCAGTGCTTTAACAACTAGGCTACCCCCACTGCCCCTTATAGTATCGAAGAAAAGATCGGACTTTGATGAGATTGTGATTGTGGACAAAAGTGATGGAGCAGGACCTAGGCTAACATGCAGTCACCAAAATAAAATTATGTGTAAGGTTAAATAGAAGCGGTAATAAAACCGCCTACAACTGAGATGGAGGAAGTAGTGTTTTCAAACCAGTAATGTCTGCCAATAGATTCCACTTTCAGTAAAATCAATGCCCAGCATAAACTCAACACTGATGGTGGGTCCTGTAAGAATTGAGAATTCTTAAAAAAATTCTATCTCACCTTGAAAATTTCATAACCTTTTGAATAAAATCTCTTGTCAGGCCAGTTCTCTATATCAATGGGGTTTACAGCTTCTAGGAATTCCATGAATGTAGAGTTGTCTTCCCCTTCTGAAGAACTCTTCTTTGGCAGAGTGTAGTTTTCAACCTGGGCATGTTCCAGTAGCGGGCTTCTTTCAAGAGCTGAGGCTGGAGAATGACGCAGCCAGGAATTGTATCATACTCCTTCAGAGCTTTTTTTGTTATCAAAATAAGAAGTTACAAAGGAATTTGACATATAAATATTCAAGTATTCCATTGTTTATTATTTAATTCTAGTCGTGTACAGTAAACTTTATGTAATAACTCAAATATAACAGAATCCAATGGTTCAAATGAGTTCTAAATAAGAGCAATGTCAGCAAATTCAGCAAATATTAATTGAATACAGAACTTAAGTAAAAGTTATTGAAAAGAAAAAATCCAAATGCCAAATAACATAGGGTGATCATTCATCTGCCTTGCAAACCTTGTGTAGCATGCAAACCTTGTGTAGCATGTAGCACGAAACATGATCAAAGTATGACATGAGGAAAACGGGATTCTTTATGATGGACGGATGTAACAAGGGGCCTACAAGATGCCAACATGTTGCAGCAAGAATTAGTGTTGAGGTTACTTCACTTCAATACCTGTGCCCAAATATATCACATGGTCATGTGTGAGCACTGTCATGTGTGAGCACTATCATGTTTGAGCACTGTCATGTGTGAGCACTGTCATGTGTGAGCACTGTCATGTATGAGCACTGTCATGTTTGAGCACTGTCATGTGTGAGCACTGTCATGTTTGAGCACTGTCATGTGTGAGCACTGTCATGTGTGAGCACTGTCATGTATGAGCACTGTCATGTTTGAGCACTGTCATGTGTGAGCACTGTCATGTTTGAGCACTGTCATGTGTGGGCACTGTCATGTTTGAGCACTGTCATGTTTGAGCACTGTCATGTTTGAGCACAGTCATGTGTGAGCACTGTCATGTTTGAGCACTGTCATGTTTGAGTATGTGAGTGTTTGAGTATGTGAGTGAGTGAGTGAGTGAGTGAGTATGGTTTTACGCCGCTTTTAGCAATATTCAAGCAACATCACAGCGGGGGACACCACAAATGGGCTTCCATGTGGGAAATTGAATCCGGGCCTTCGACGTGACGAGCAAACGCTTTAACCACTAGGCTACCCAACTGCCCCTTGTCATGAGAGATTACAGTCATGTGTGAGTATTGTCATGTGTAAATATTGTCATGTGTGAGTATTGTCATGTGTAAATATTGTCATGTGTGAGTATTGTTATGTGTAAATATTGTCATGTGTGAGTATTGTCATGTGTAAATATTGTCACGTGTAAGTATTGTCATGTGTGAGTATTGTCATATGTAAATCTTGTCATGTGTGAGTATTGTCATGTGTGAGTATTGTCATGTGTAAATATTGTCTTGTGTGAGTATTGTCATGTGTGAGTATTGTCATGTGTAAATATTGTCATGTGTAAATATTGTCATGTGTGAGTATTGTCATGTGTAAATATTGTCATGTGTGAGTATTGTCATGTGTAAATATTGTCATGTGTAAATATTGTCATGTGTAAGTATTGTCATGTGTGAGTATTGTCGTGTGTGAGTATTGTCATGTGTGAGTATTGTCATGTGTAAGTATTGCCATGTGTAAATATTGTCATGTGTAAATATTGTCATGTGTGAGTATTGTCATGTGTAAATATTGTCATGTGTGAGTATTGTCATGTGTAAATATTGTCATGTGTGAGTATTGACATGTGTAAATAGTCATGTGTGAGTATTGTCATGTGTAAATATTGTCATGTGTGAGTATTGTCATGTGTAAATATTGTCATGTGTGAGTATTGTCATGTGTAAATATTGTCATGTGTGAGCATTGTCATGTGTAAATATTGTCATGTGTGAGTATTGTCATGTGTAAATATTGTCATGTGTGAGTAGTCATGTGTAAATATTGTCATGTGTAAGTATTGTCGTGTGTAAATATTGTCATGCTGCTGGAATTGGCAAATTGAGCAACTCGACAGCAGGGGGAACTAGGAATGGTGTTCACCCATTGTACTTGTGTGTTGAATCAAACCTGGGTTTCTAAGATCACGCCTCAATCCTAGTCACTGTCACCATTGGCATATATCAGGGAGGTGCAAGGAATAGCAATGCAACAATCAGGGAGGTGCAAACAACAGCAATGCTACATTATACAGTTATGTCAATGTTAGTGTATTAGATGTACACTCAGGAATTGCAAACATACAGACACTGAAGTCGTTCCACACCTATGCGTAACATGTCACAGCAAGCATTGTCGCCCTTCTTCCCACGGTCTAGGGAGCTCTATCATTGTCAACTTCTAAATCACAAATTTATTTCTTTGAAATCAGAATGTAATAATTTTACATTTCGAGACTACAACCTTCTTCCATCTTCATGCAACACGGAGTGAAACAAAAAACATATTTTTGTGTGTATAGCACACACTTTAAAAAATTTATACAGCGGTGTAGACAGGGGTTGGCATTATAAACGCATACAATGATTTTTTACCCGACTGTGAAAAGGCAGCGAAAGAAATACCGGTATTAAAATCTCAGATCAATGGGGGATGAGTCTGAGATTATGCAAAGGGGCGACCGGTGGGCACATGCTTGTACAACAGAGAATAATTTTGTGATTGTCAAAAAAACCCTGTAATTGTCACCTTTTTTACTGGCATTTAGAAGTGATACACACAAGAGATAATTTATGGATGTCAACATCGTTATTATGAGGAACACAACCTTCTTCATAACAACACAGCTGACATCCATAAATTCTCTCACTTAAAATTCACCTGTTTGAGGATTTACGTGGTTCATTTCATGTTGAAAACAAACAAATCCAACATGGCTTTTGGAAACAGACAGAAAACATTGGCTAAAGTCCACTGGCTCTATCTCTGCATGTGTATCAAGGGTGAAACGATACAGCAAGGTCGTGATACGATACGTATCACAACACGCATATTTATGTCAAATCGCATGGTAACTTCTTGACAATTAATATTTCAGAGCAAGTTCAAAAGGAAAAGCTAGCTGTAGACAAATGTTCTTAAAGGGTATTTTAGTACAGTAAACTACATTTATAACAAACACGCTTATAACGAACTAACCGATATAACAAACTTACTTTTTAGTCTTATAACGAACTACGGTTATTATGAAATAAAATTAGTGGTCCCTTTGATTTTGTTAAAACCGTAGTTTACTGTCGTGAACTTAAAATGCTAATTACAACACATTTTGTGATATCTGGCTGACAAAAACGCGAGGGTCATTAAACAAGTAGTAAGTAATTTATTTCAGCAAGTGACGTCTTGTATCGATACAGAGAAAAACGTATCATTTATGGTATTGTCACATGAAAACTTACGATGCACCTGTGCACTGATGTATTGTTTCACCCCTAAAGTGTGTAGACGGACGGACAAACAGATGGACGGACGGACAGACGGAAGCAGGATGGATGAGGCTGAAAGTGAGATGGATGTACCTCTGGTGTCTATGGAAACGGTGGCTTGCAACAGTTCTTCCTGAATGTTATAGGGATTCGGAGACGAGTTGGTGCCATCTTGTCACAGACAACATACATGGGAAATGTTAGTTAAAGCACACAGAACATGGTCTGCCAGATGTTATACCTCTCCACGACTCGGATCATCCAGCAATGCCAACATCCTGATCTTAATCATGCCGTAATAAACACACTTCAGTTACAAGAGTATACATTATATTTATAGTTAACACAATATAATATGATAAAACGGTTCCATAACTACAAGAATCAAGTGACATTTCACATAATAAATGAGTGAGTGAGTGAGTATGGTTTTACGCCGCTTTTAGCAATATTCCAGCAATATCACGACGGGGGACACCAGAAATGGGCTTCACACATTGTACCCATGTCGGGAATCGAACCCGGGTCTTCGGCGTGTCGAGCGAACGCTTTAACCACTGGGCTACCCGACCGCCCCTCATAATAAATGAATGAGAAGGGTTTTATATAGTGCTTTGGCTTCACACATTTTATCCAAAGTGGGGAATCAAACCCAGGCCTTGAGCATGATGAGCAAACACTTTAACCACTAGGCTAACCTACTGCCAGTAACCTTTTTGCATCTTCCTGAGGCAAGGGAGTTAACTGACTGTAAGAGTCCAGTTTCCATCCTTGACGAACTAGGCTGCAATTTCTTTACCCGATCGTAGCACCCTCTGTGGCTATTATGAGTTATGTCCCTTCTATGTCCCTCCTACTGACCAATCAGATTCCAACTCTCATATCACTTGCATTTGCTTCAAACAGAATGGCGATGCCAAGTCAAGATGATAATCAAAATCTATATTGTGAAAAACGGGTCATACTTCGCGAAGTGCAGCCAATCATGTGAACACCTTGATTAAGAAAATGAAAAGATTTATTGGAAATATCTGTTGACCCCATGATGCCAGTACACATGCTTAACAAAACTGCACGGCAGTTCACAAACCGGATGTTTGCTTTCATTACATGCTTTTGATTGGACTATGCATAGACTCATTAGTCCAGCTAAAATATCACTCCATAATTCCAGCCTAGTTTGGCGAGGGTTGAAACTGGACTTGTATAGTCAGTTAACGCCCTTGCCTTGGAAAAATATTTAGTTTCTGGTAATATTTCACAACATAAATGCTGAAGATATGAGTTGGCGCATTATGTCTTCTTGCAGTTGGGAACAATCTGTTATCACTACAAGAGCAGGCTGTGCCTGCGTTTGACTCTGGTGCAGGCAAACCATCTGTGTAAGCATTGATTCACAGGGTGCGCTACCACACTAAACCAGCCAGGTCACAGGTCAAAGTTTACAGGCTACGGATGGGAGCAGATCTTCTTGGCTGGTACGCCATTCAAGTGTAGACCATCCTCAGGCCCGCCTAATTGGCCAGCCAATCTCCTTGCAATGGCAAGTCACAAGCAAATATGGAGAAAGTAGAGAGTGAGTGAGTTTAAAGCCACTGAAAAGTATTCCAATTTTACCACATGTCAGTTTCATGTAAGGAGACAACTCAAATCATGCAAGTCTCGGATATTTAACACTGTGGTTAAACCCACGAGCAACGGAATGGCGCTGACAGTCTGGGAACATGATCAGGGTGATCCAGGATTCGAACCCACAATCTTAGGTTTCTGTCATGTCTAAGGGATGCAACTCTGCACAGTAGATTGCAGCATCGTAGACGAGTGAGCGGACAGAGATATTTAGAAACAAGACCAATAGCTGAGGAGTAATGGTAGCCATTTTGAAATCCAAGATGGCTGTCACAAAAGTTCGTGGAGAACATGGCAACATTATCTTTTGTTAACCAGTGCTGTATTAAACATTCTTGCCAAGATTGTTACCAAAATGATGCTTTTCCTTAGATAGCCCATATACTATGTGCCCCCTGAGAAGAAAAAGAATTTCAGTGTGAGTATTCCCTACCTGCTCCATTGTCAGACAATGCAGAACGGAGGGGACCGTCCTCTGAATCTCCCAGGTCCCCTGTATCTGCTAACAGTTAGTAAAAGCAGTGAACGGACCAGTCACCTATCCAACACATCAGATGATCAACAGATACTTTACCAAAAACGATTTGAAAATCTTTGAAAACAAAAAACATTTAATGCTAGGAAATGATTTTTCAGTCCCATGTAAATTTTTTTTTTTTTCATTGTGAAATAAATGACTGGCCCTACAATATAGCTAATTTGATTGAAAGCAGTAAAATGTAGACTAGCACAAGTCTACATCAAGCGGGATCAGTGTGGGGGTGTTACACTGCTTTGAACACCTAGCTATTCCAAAGTCTGCTTAATGATGAAGGGCTTTTTTAGATTTTGCCTTGAACAGTATCAACTGTGTTGACTTAGGGTGGAGGAGAGTTTGTTTGTTTGTTGTTTAACTGCACACAATATTCCAGCTTTATGAGTGTAAATGATCAAGTCTGGACCAGACAAACCAATGATTGATATTTTGAGCAACACCGTAGAGGACAGCACAACATGTAAGGCTACAGATGTCAAGCAATGTGGTGATTCAAACCCACTGTCAAGTTGCAGCACCACCGTCCACATGGCCAATACTACATAACATGTAGATCATCACTGCTTTATTCACAGTGAGTGAGTGAGTTAAGGCACGTTTAGCAATATTCCAGCAATATCCCGACAGGGGACACCAGAAATGTGCTTCACACTTTGTACCCATATGGGGAATCGAACCCAGGTCTTTGCTGTGACGAGCATACGCTTTAACCACTAGGCTACTCTGCCACCTCCCTTTAGGTAGGTACATAATCACTTCTTTATTGTTGCATAAATCAGTATTTCCAGTGGCACCTTTGTGAATCCATGTGGATTCATCAGGATCCTGGAGACAGCAGGGGAGATAACCCCTCTAGTACAGAATATAAATAGGAGCACTTTCTGGGTTCCATGAATGAACTCTGGAACTAATCAAGTAATATATCAGAATGGAAACTTTTAAACATTTGAACACCTGAATATCTAAATAATGAACCCTTTTTCGGTAATACATGTATACCCTTTTGAATATGCCATGCCACTTATAGTCTGGAAGGTAATTTAAGGTACCGACGTTTACTACAATACCAATCAACTCATCTCGAAAGGGTGCACGGGAATCACGCACGTTGAGACGCCCAACGCTAACACCATATTCGTGCGTGCGTGATTCCCGTGCACCCTTTCAACTTCAGTTGTTTGGTTGAACTGTGTCATATGGCCCTGTGAGGCAGGGGTAGCATTATGCAGATGGCTGTTACAATGAATGTTCGTTCCATCCGTGACGAACAGGTCTGGTTGTTGATGAAATATAGTGATAGCTAAATAGACAGATTTTTTATTCATGCACCGATTGTCTTTAAATGTAATATCCAGTAATGTATGACTGTTTAATAATCTCATACCAACTTTGACTGGAGTAGGTCTATTTTCCATTCAGAACTGCCTGTAAATGTTCATTTTCAAGACACAGAAGAATCAGTTATATGCTGCATTGAATGTTTACTGATAATTTAGACACTAATTGGCTGTTTAGAAAGTTCACCCGACAAAGCTCTTATGGAGGGTTTGACAGCCCTTACGTAGACGGAACGGTATTGGAGACCAAGATGTGACAGTAATGATATAACACCACCACCAGAAGAGCATGATAAGTTAACTATGAGACCTTCATCATTGCACTCTCATTAAAATATCGCTACCCACGGATCTGAGGACATCCCATTCCAGGTGATGTCACAATGACATTTAGCCAACTTTGACTGACCAATGAAATGACTGACAGGAAGTTGACATCAGCCAATCACAAAGTATCTTTCTCAAGCTTAATGGCACTAGTTTCAAAACTTCCATTCCAGACTACACTTTGAAAAGTATTTTGATTCAAAATTTGAAAACTGAATGAAAGAACATTCTGAAATGTCCAAAACATGGCTGAGATTGTACTTTCTATGTGCTATGGAAAGTTTCTTCCATTTCAAATGTTTATCATGTTGAAGCGAGAGATAGATGATAATTTTGAAGGAATCAGTTGTACAGCCCGTCGTTCGGAATGCCCTGTGTTAATCTTTTGCAGGTTGCATGATTAGAAACAGATTTTTGCTTTCACGATCTCGTAAGTGATGTTCTGATTGGTTGTACGAAAAATCTTTGTGTAGCAGTAACACTCACTTAGGTTTGATTTTAATGAGATTGGTCATCATTGCTGCTATATTTCACTGCATGTGATACTCTGTCAAGATCTGCGTCATTCTGAATTCTATGTCACCATGACATTCCGAATTGAAACAAAATACACTACTGCAGCATTTTTAAAGCTTCCATGAAATTCTAATCATTAGTTCATCATGATTACCAAACTTCCAAAAACTTCCACCAAACCTGAATTACATGCCCAACATATGAATTCACAAAGAAATAGATACATTTCTCACTTGGTGGCGCCACTATGATCGTCTGCTCCTCAGGTCGCTGCCGTTCCCGCTGGTATATATATCTGCCGATGACGACCACAAGCACATAGAACACATACAGGCCTATGAAGCCTGCAAGACACAACAGTCATCCTCGTTTCAAACAAACAGTCTTTTTGCATCTGATAAAGGAGCTGACAATTGTCTTTACATTTACAGCTTTAACATGTGACAAAGTTGTGTTTCATTTGTTTATCAGATAAATTTCTATTCTGGAGTGTATGTGCACTTAAAAGATATGTGAAAAATAATGAGATGTCTTGCTTCTGAAGCAGCTGTTTGGTTTGGGTCATACAGTGAGACTTTTATTGTTGGCCAAACGTATCCTCCTCCACTTGAACCTTTTCTTACCCCATTGTTTATGTGATTTGAAGACACATTGAATGCATAACTGTGGATTTAATGAGTTAATACTGTTCAGCAGTTTTGCAAGCTTTGGTAAGATGGTGTTTACTGACCTGGTCAAGTTAGCTTGCCTACTGAAAAATTACTTTCAAGACTTTCGTCACAAATAATATTTAGGATTTTATTTGCTTCTTAAAGGGCCACTATTTGATATTCTGCAGACGGGATGAAAATATACCTGTCTCTAACAAACTAAAAATATTTATTCAAAAAATCATCATGACTGCAATGGAGGCAAATATGACATTTTCACCTAATGCTTCAAACTTTGTTATCGTTTTCTTCCACAGAATGTAGAAAGTCCAGAAAGCAGCAGCCAGGTAGAAGATGACATCACGGAGGAAGGGGCGTTGCATGGCATCGAAGGGGCAGACAACAGCAATGACCCCAGCAACTACGGTCGTCACAAATACACCCGCACCTATGGATACACAGGATATAACTGTTCGGGCATTCAATGAAGGGATATAACTCTTGGTCAACACAATGAAGGAACATAACTCTTTGGGGGCATAATGAAGGGACATAACTCTTAGAGGACATAATGAAGGGACATAACTCTTAGAGGACATAATGAAGGGACATAACTTTTAGAGGGCATAATGAAGGGACATAACTCTTAGAGGACATAATGAAGGGACATAACTTTTAGAGGACATAATGAAGGGACATAACTTTTAGAGGACATAATGAAGGGACATAACTTTTAGAGGAAGTAATGAAGGGACATAACTCTTGGTAGACATAATGAAGGGACATAACTCTTGGTAGACATAATGAAGGGACATAACTCTTGGTAGACATAATGAAGGAACATAACTCTTGGTCATCATAAAGAGGGATATAAATCTTGGGGACATAATGAAGGGACATAACTCTTGGGGGGGTAATGAAGGGACATAACTCTTGGTAGACAAAATCAAGGAACATAACTCTTGGGGGCATAATGAAGGGACGTAACTCTTGGTCAACATAATGAACATAACTCTTGGGGACATAATGAAGGGACATAACTCTTGTGGCGCTTAATGAAGGGACACAGCCACATAATGAAGGGATATTACTCGTGGGGAGGGGGGTTGCATAGTGAACGGATATAACTCTTAGAGGAAATAATAAAGGGACATAACTCTTGGTAGACATATGAAGAAACATAACTCTTGATGGGCATAATGAAGGGACATAACTACTCGTCATCATAATAAGGGGACATAACTACATAACTCCTAGTCGACATAATGAAGGGACATAACTCTTTGGGGGCAAAAATGAAGGGACATAACTCTTGATTGACACAATGAAGGGACATACACTTAGTCCACATAATGAAGGCACATAACTCTTGGGGACATAATGAAGGGACATAACTCTTTGTCGACATTATGAAGGGTCATAAGTCTTGGTCAACATAATGAAGGAATGCAAAGTAAAATAAACCCCATCAGAGTAAGGACATAATTTATGCCCAGCGCCCTATTGTTCAAATTTGAAATATGATACTTAGTATCATGAAAAGTATTCATAAGCAGTGAACCAATCAGAATGCAGCACACACTCCCATTTGTTACACAATACTGTACAAACAGCATCAACAATAGTGAGTATGGTTTTACGGCATTTTTAGCAATATTTCTCAGCAATATCACAGCGGGGACACCAAAATGGGTTTCACACATTGTACCCAAGTGGGGAATTGAACCTGGGTCTTGGGCGTGGCAAGTGAACACTTTAACCAGTAGGCTACTCCACCGACCCAACATAAACATAAACTGGGTTACTCCCAGCACATTCAGATCTAGCGGTGTCTACGCCCACTTGTTTAACAAAAATCACACAAATAACAAAAGTAAGCCATGAAGAATCCATGCATGGAGATATTCCAGCCTGACTGAAACTCACCGAACAGAGCTCCCACTGCCATTCCTGCGTCACCATTCTTGGCGCTGCCAATAGCTGCGATGGCGGAGAAAATGTCTGGGGCTCCATTTCCAAATGCCAGAAATGTCACCCCCTAACTCAGGTCAAGGAATGCAACAGTGGCAGTCGGTATATGATGTCACAGGCACAGGATTCTCTAGATGGCGGGGTATGGTATTAAATAATTTTACATATTTCAATAAATTGGGAATTTATCAGTGAAACTCCCTTGAAATTAGCAATGTTCCAGCAAAATCATGGGACACCAGATATGACAGGGACAGAGGACAGTAAGGGGGCACACGTGACACAACCCCTGGTTGGTAAAGGATACGGCCACATTGTGACTGAGCCTCAGGGTCTTCGATATGACGGTCAGCGACGGACAGAAACTGAAACACATTTATATACACATTCAGGGTGATATACGCATTATACCACTAGGTAGTGTCATGTCTATTGTTTTGGCGGGTCATTATTCTTTATCCCGTCCTTACATGCGCACATGGGTACAATGTGTGAAGCCCATTTCTGGTGTACCCCGCCGTGATATTGCTGGAGTATAGCTAAAAGTGGCGTAAAACCATACTCACTCACACACACTTTCCCTACATGCGCAACGTGTTGAGGTTGTTGAGTTCAACCCCCCATGAAGAACCAGGTTATAATTGGTCTTTCACAACTGACAAGATCAGGTGTTCAGGCTCGCTGACGTGGTTCATGCATGTCATCGTATCCCAATTGCATGGATCAATGCTCACTCTGTCAATCACTGGATTGTCTAATCCAGACTCAGTTATTTACAGACCACCGTCATATTGCTGAATATTGCTGAGTGTTGCGTTAAACAATAAACAAACAAACACACACACACACACACAACAAACAAACAAACACAAATAAATCAAACATAGTAGCCAAGTCTTCCCCTTTGTATTATTTCCCGGCAGCCGACAGGGAGGACGGTGTGAGTACAATCTGCTGGAGGAAGTAGTGCAAGCTTGTGACACACTCTATCAGGGAGGAAAACACAAACATGAAGGGTTACACTGATTACGTCCTGTATCTATACCAAGCAAAAGAAGTTAAACAACACCTGATCCTTTTACCGGCTGGTGGTTATTGCAACACACAGTCTTCCAATTGGGGCTGTTCTTTAACTTGTTTTGAGTAGTATATATATAGGACATAAAATCAGTGTAACCATGGTAACCAATGATATGAGGAAAGATTGAATCTGTCAGTTTATTCAAAATCAGCAGCATGCCCTGATAAGGTGGTCCAATTACATGATTTGTGGACCTGAGAGCTTTCTGCAACAATACTGCACATACACTGAAGATATTCACATTGAAGCATAAAGTAATCCCAGTTTGTGAACCATGTTCCTTCAAGTGATCTTGACATGAAATATTGTACGTGGATTACGACACGACCATAACTCACAAGTCATCCGCAGTGACCGCCAGACAGATGAACAGGAACAGCCACCACATAAACTGTAACAGACAAATAAAACACTAAATAGCACTACAACGCTACTACATTCACACTACAAGGGGATTATCTAGGACACCACAGAGCACTAAAACAACACTACATTCACACTACAAGGGATCATATAGGACATTACATAGCATTGCATAGCACTAAATAACACTACATTCACACTACAAGGGGATTATCTAGGACACCACAAAGCACTGAAACAACACAAGATTCATACAAGATCATCGAGGACACAGCACTAAAACAACACTACATTTACACTACAAGAGGATTATCTAGGACACCACACAGCACTAAAACAACACTACATTCACACTACAAGGGATCATCTAGGACACCACAGAGCACTGAAACAACACCAGATTCATACATGGAGATCATCGAGGACACAGCACTAAAACAACACTACATTCACACTACAAGGGGATTATCTAGGACACCACACAGCACTAAAACAACACTACATTCACACTACAAGGGGATCATCCAGGACACTACATAGCACTAAAACAACACTACATTCACACTGCAAGGGGATCATCCAGGACACTACATAGCACTAAAACAACACTACATTCACACTACAAGGGGATTATCTAGGACACCACAGAGCACTGAAACAAAACTACATCCACTCTACAAGGGGATTATCTAGGACACCACATAGCACTAAAACAACACCAGATTCATACAAGGAGATCATCGAGGACACAGCACTAAAACAACACTGCATTCACACTACAGGGGATCATCCAGGACACTACATGGCACTAAAACAACACTAAATATGCACTACAAATGATCATTTAGGACATAACACAGCACTAAAACAACATTATATTCACACTACAAGAGGATTGTCTGGGAGTTTTAACTTACTGCTTGTGGAAACCAAAGTGGTAGGAAGAACTGGGTTTTTTCATTCCCCCTCATTTATGCAGTAATGCAACGACAGCGTCATAGTACTGTAGCTCACCTGGATATGTTGTCAACAGCCTAAGATGTTAACAAATGTTTCTGTCAGCTGAAACTAACGCTACATTTTACAGATACTGATGCCATCAAACGTAGAAACATCCATGAAAGCTTCTTCAGTTTGGCAACTTAAGAAAAGATATTTACAGCGTAAGGACATACATTGGGAGAGACGCTGGAAGCATGGTGGAACTGTGTACTCACAAGTATGACCAGCGCCAGTGGAACCAGATTACCCAGAGTGCAATACACAAACACGGTGTAGTCGATGAAACCCTCGCCGATCTGGCAGTCATCTGTGGCGTTCACAAACTTACAGATGTCCGTCACATTAGGCATTGTGTGGAAATCACGACACTGAAAATGCAAAACAACATAAAGTCTCAATATCTACCTCATCAGATGTGAAGATACACATGGTCACCTCATGACGAAATGTATATTACAACTTTTACAGAGTTTTCTGCAATTTATATATATATGAAACATCAGTTTCCGGACACATATACTGCTACTATTATGTCAATTTATCCTCAAATAAAATTAGATAAGCTATGTTGGGCAGGTGGAGCTTTGTATCGCATGGTTGCAAGTATTTGATACATTCCAAATCCTATTTCGTCTACCGATTTCTCTTTTACATGTAACCTTGACTGCAAGTAACCAAACACACAGACTGCTAGCAATTTTCTTGCGATTTACTTGCCAATAGCTTAATTACGTTGCATGTTTGTGGTGTGTGATTGCTTATAATGCCACATGTAGATATGGTGGTCAGTGATGGAGTATTAAGCCAAGAAAGACAATGGCCTGGCCCCCCATCAATACAGCACTAGGGGTGAGACACTACAAGGCTCCTCCGGTCCGACACTCGCCCTGGCACCGTCTTTCATCTCGTTGATTGGCCAAGCTGACCGTAGCTACAACCTCAATGTTTAGATGGTACATTTTAAACATCAGCTGCTACACTACTTCTCAAGGAAGGACACATGTCGTACTGGTGTAAGTTTTTATGTCGTGATCTTGAATCTGTTATATACACTAATTATCATATGTTAATCCCCTCTGTACAGTAAAGGGAAGTAAATGTGAATGTATGTCTGTATGTTTGATATGAGTGATTGATGTTTCTTGGTAAGTGCAGGTGTATGAGTGTTGTATGGTTGATATGTATGGCTGTTGTACTACATATTTTTATACATTGTTTTACCACTTGTATATATATAGATAGTTTTCACCAGTATTAGCCCGTGCAGGCTCCATCTATCTGGTACATAACATCATGTCAGATATTCTATATATATTTTATGTTCCATGTAATTGTAATACATTTCTAAGGTGACATACAGTATGTTCTCTATCACTTCATAATTGTATCACTATATTTTGTATCCGTGTATATTGTACAGACACGTGCAGTACTAGATGGATGTAATAGAAGCGATATTTATTAACAAAAGTAATACCGTATTCGACGTAATAAGCGCCCCCGGCGATATTTGCTAATATATTGGCTAGTGAACAATTCCAATTGGCACCCCTTCCGATTGATCAATGTACACAGACTTATTTTTTCACGAATAATACGCACTCGTGTGTTATATGCACCCTTAATTATGGGCAATTAATACATAAACATTTCAGGCTGTCAGCATAAACCACGAAATGTATCTCTCAACTCCCGTTTTTTTTTCACCAAATAATATTCTAATAAGAGCCCCCTATTTCTAATTTTGAGAGCGCCCTGGGCGCTTATTACGTCGAATACGGTATCTATATTTTATAAACTTAAAGGGGAACAGTCTATTTTATATTTGCTTATGTTATTATTTCATTGTTTCTGCCTGACCTACAACACATAAATAAACGTCGTCAGCCTCACCCCCCACAGCTGTTTGTTATCATTTGGAATAGCATCTTGGTTACTCCTAATGGCTATCACAAGCACTGTTACACAGACAGATTTGCAAGGTGAAAGGTTTTAGTAAGCATCATCCAATGAAATGTGAAGATTCAAGGGGAATCCCTCTCGTTGGTCCAGAACCCAGTTTGTTGGGTCATTGATGCTATAGGGCGGTCGGGTAGCCTAGTGGTTAAAGCGTTCGCTCGTCACGCTGAAGACCCGGGTTCGATTCCCAACATGGGTACAATGTGTGAAGCCCATTTCTGGTGTCCCCCGCCGTGATATTGCTGGAATATTGCTAAAAGCGGCATAAAACCATACTCACTCACTCACTCATTGATGCTAATTGCCATCTTGTGATATTTCGCTGGATGATTAAAATGGTGCCAGCTAGACGACTGAAATTTTGAGTGCTGTAACAACAAAAATTCACGATAACTCCATTGTTACACTAAATCAGTTCCCAATCAGACATTTTGCACCCAACTCTTGAGGTCTACAGTGGGTACCCAGGAAAGCTTGGGTAATAGGGGTTGGGTATCATGGTAGTAAATTTGGACTCTTTCAAGTCCAACTTATTGTGTGACAAGGGTAATCTATGTCACCAACTCAGAGTTTACACAGTCACAATCGTGTAGACTTGTCACTTTGCCCCAAAGTCAAGTACCTCTCTGATTTTGTAATGCGACAGGAAGTGTGACAAGATTGAAGTGTCAAGCTGTACAAATGAATGATTTAATGAAAAAAATGACCATAAACCAACCTTCTGTTTTGAAACATTGAGTTGGTGCACGCTGTCATACAGGTGTCTCGAAGAAACAGTGCAAAATCTTCTCTTATGTCACAGACAAAAGGTATAAATATAACAAAGGCATCTCTTCCTGACGACCCGAAAATGTCCACTTGAACGCGGACGAATATCACAACAAGGAACTTCTCATGTAACCTTAACCTCTGAACATCAATGCGGGGATCGACTTCACACACACCACGACCCAAACTGATTGCCGCCAGAGGGGATTCCCCATAATATTAATTACGTCACTTCCGGTACTCTATATATAGTAACAGGAAACCTCCACAGATTGTTCACCTGATAAACAGTCAAGTTTCCACTCACCTCCACATTACTGTCGTCCCTTAAGTTGTGTGGTTTCAACAAGGGGTCTTCCCCGATCCATTTCAGACCCCGTGCAGTGTGACTTTGTCCATTTGGAGACATACCTGCCCAGGTGTGCGGTGAATCAAACAACCCCACAATTCGGTTACATAACAGTACGACTACACCACTCGCCACAACGACACTCAGCCGGGACAGTGTCCGATAATGCTGCTGTGACATTTTGAAGTGTTGGGAAAAGGCTGTCATCCTGTCACGTTAGCTGTCTACATCTTTCTGTCAACTTGGAACTTGTGTCGCTATCTCGACGTCATGTGATGTCAACCGAGTCACGTGAAGGATGTGTACATATGTAAGGAGTAGGTATAACCGTGAATATATCTGTCATCTCCGGTCAACGTATCTATTAATGTCTAAATAGGGAACAGATTTATTATCTATATGTAGATAATTGTGGAAGTCATGTGCACAGGTTGGATTATAATTTACCTCCTATCAACCACTGCAGCAATCTATCTAATTGCTGGTATCGAACAACATTCATCGACTCACTGACACACTGGCTCACTCGAGTTCTGTGTTATCTTACAGATGTAGGTGAACTGTAAACGACTGGCTTACAGAAGATGTGTATCGTTTTTAAGCCGCTTTAAGCAATATCTCAGCGATATCACGTTCTGATTCACACATTGTAACAATGTGGGGAATAGAACTCGGGTCTTCGGCGTCACGCGATATGAGATACACATCAACTTTATTATCCTGTGGGGGCGTTTTGGGTAGCCTCGTGGTTAAAGCGTTTGCTCGTCAGGACGAAGGCCTGAGTTCGATTCATAGGAACAATGTGTGAAGCCCTTTTCAAGTGTCCCCCACAGTGATACTGCTTGAATATTGCCAAAAGAGGCGTAAAACCGTACTCACACAACTCACTCACTCACTCACTCACTATTACCCCGTGGAAATTCCCGACCCCCGACAGTTGAGGTGGTGAGGCTCGGTGGCGTGCGTGTCATCGTCCCCCGACATGTGAACCGTTGTTCATGCCGTCAACCACTGGTTTGCCTGGTCCAAACACAATCTCTTCTACTCCGACGTGATCCTCCCAGGCGCCGAATCCTAATAAGAGTGGACCCGTGAAGATTCCGGGGTAGAATAGGTCTTCAGCAACCCATACTTGCCGTAAAAGGCGACTTGTCTTGTCCTAAAAGGCGACTAACGGGAATTGGTGGTCAGGCTCGCTTTGGTTGATACATGTCATCGATCCCAATTGCGTAGATCGATGATCATGATGTCGATCACTGGATTGTCTGGTCCAGACCGCCGTCATATAGCTGGAATATTCCTGAGTGCGGCGTTAAACAACAAACCAACCAACCAACCTAATAAGACTGGGTTCAACACGGGCCGCGGTGTGGTATCATGGTATGTATCTTGAAGATTACTGAAAAAATATTCACTCACTCTGTTCATAAAACAAATATATTCTACATTAATGTCGTATAGCAATGAGTGCATAACACATGCCAGCTATATTTGTGTGTTGCTGGGGACGTATTCTAAATCCCAACTCGGCACATTAAGCTGAATGTGCACGTTGCCCTTTGAAACCAAACACATTTCGTTGTGCCCGCCCTTCAGCACTATTCTCTCACACAAGACAATAGAATTGGATTTCCTTACACCATCATCTCCAATCAGCAATCAGCCCAACATGAAAAAGAAAACTAGTGCGGTCACATTTGACGGATAAAGAGACTGAGCTATCCAGTGACACAAGGTGAAGGTCACCCGATAATCATTATGTCACGGTGACTTATCTGCTGTAGTCCATGTCTCGCGAGATCGACCGTGAGTTAATGGTAGCCAGGTATCACCCTGACCTTTCGCGTGAGTCTGCCTGCATCACAGACTCCGTGCAGGGAGCGCGTGTCCCTGAAACACTGAAACACGCACGTAGCTCCTCGCCGTCTGACAGAGTGGGTAACCTGGCCGGGTCCTGCCATAAGACGTTAAAAGATGGTACCTGTTGTTACCCTGCCTGGCGCTCGGCATTAAGGGGCCAAAACAAGGACTGGCTCGGAGCCAGTATTGTAAATGCACCCATGTTAAACTGCGGCATAGTTTCTCAGTGGGCTAGCACTATAAAACCGGTATTGGTCCTGACCAGTACAAGCAGACCTGTGTCAAAGTACAGACAAACCCACGACATTGTCTGGGGCCCCGGAGAGCGACAAGAAGTTGCAACATGGTGATAAAGTGTTTATTTGTCTAAAAATGGCATATACATATAAAAACATACAAGACATAAAAATAATGGCAGCTTCCAGCCTTCTTAAGTTTATAAGACATGAACATTAAAGTACAAATCATAAGACATGGGGAAAAAATAAATAAATAAATAAAAATAATGATAATAATAATATACACAACACAATACATACTAAAAAGACTCACACACGCACGCACATGCACACACACACACACACACACACACACACACACACACAGAGACACACCAACACACCCGCACGCACAAAAAACATACACAGGCACATACCAAATGCACAAACAGGTGTGCGTAATAAAATGCACGCGTGCGCTCACGTGGTATCGTACATATCATTATACAAGCTCATGCACGCATTAACATACAAAACAACTTCCTGCGGGCATACATTTTTACACACATCTTGCAAAGGGTAGGAATGAGGCTGTCACCTTGAAACAGACTTGGTAGGTCGCACTGGTCACGGAGTTCTGGGAATTGCAGTAACAGATTTTTCTGTGTCGTTAATTACACTAGATAAACCATAGTCGTTAAATATTCGCTGTATCTTCTTTTCCCACGATTTTCCACAGGAGAGAGACCATTGGTGCACTTTAAACAACGGACGGTGACGAGACGTGCGCTGAAGCCGACACCACAGTCGCGCCATTTCTATGTGTAGTCGTAATTGGGGGTCCATTGCAGCCAGCCCCTATCTCCCCGGGCTGCTAGGTTGGCTGTGCTACAGGGTGCTCCAAGAAACAGACGGCATGCTTTATTCTGTATGGCGAACACTTCCCTGATTTTCCAAACTCCCCACAGACCAGAACAATAGAACAACATCGACTGGACGGTAGAATCATATATTCTTTTAAAACACGTCATGGTGCATGTCACCTAATACCTAAAACTATTGGCTTAAAAGACCAAGAGCCCTAGAGGCCGCCTTCACCAGTTCTTTCACAGAGAATCCCATGTCGCAGTGTTCTTGAAGCCATAGCCCGTGGTATCTATACTTGCCGCTGTGGCAAAAGCATTGGTTGCCGTAGTAGAAGTCAGACGTATGACGTCTTGTTGATTTTGACCTAAAGTGGAGCACATTGGTTTTATCTAAGTTGACGGTGAGTCTCCATCTCCGGGCCCAGCTGTGAAGGACATCAATCAGTTGTTGTAGTCTATAGCTATTGGCGTCCGGCGCCAGTAGAACGATATCATCAGCATATAAGAGTACCGCTATGTTAATACCGTCTATTTCAAGGCCACAGTTGCTAGCTTGAAGTTCTATCGCTAGATCGTTGACATATAAGGCAAACAGTGTCGGAGAGAGTACGCATCCTTGTTTGACCCCTGATCTGACATGGAATAAATCCGCTACAAATTCGTTGACTTTAACAGAGCACCTGACATCTTCGTAAAGTGAGTGGATTGCCTGGAGTATGTTCCCTGTTATGCCGTAATCCATCAATTTGTACCAGAGATGGTCCCGACTGGTACAATCGAAGGCCTTGTAAAAGTCTATAAAACGTGATATATGACGACGGTCTGTAAATAATCGAGTCTGGACCAGACAATCCAGTGATTGATATCATGAGCCTCGATCCACGCAATTGGGATCGAGGACATGCTTCAACCAAGTCAGCGAGCCTGACCACCCGATTCCGTCAGTCGCCTCTTACGACAAGCATAGTCGCCTCTTACGGCAAGTATGGGTTGCTGAAGACCTATTCTAACCCGGATCTTCACGGGTCGAGCTCTATGTGAAGCCGGCTATAAATACAAGGACACTGAACCCCTCTTCTTTTTTTTCACCCTCACCGCGAGGAATTTGGCATTACACACGTGGCTTGGATTAATGAGACACATGCTGCCAATCTTCAGACATTGGGATATCTATATTTCAGTTGCAAGATACATGCGATTCTGAAGAAATTATTACCCCGACAGGGGGCGCCGCAATTCGATGTGCAGAGTTCGCCCCGATTACGTTTCTAGGTTTGTCAGCACCATACTCGTGCTCGTGGGTTTCACCGAAGTGGTAAACGTCTTAAACCTGCATCACTTCGGGCTTTCCTCCCACATGAAGCTGACACGCCGTGATATGTATGCCATATTAAACATTGTCCACCATGGATATCTCTCTCGCTAGTGATTAAACATTGACATTATGTAATCAGTGCCCGATTTTATCGTCAAAAGTACATGATTCGAATAGTTATTACCATAATACGTGTATCAATATTGGATACAATATTGAAATTACGATGCTACATTATTTTAGCTTGGATAATACGAAACTGACGACCAAAAGAAACTTTATCATTTTAAAAATGAAATTACAAAAACTTAAAAACACAAGTTCAAACTTAAACAATGCAAAACACATCGTCAAAACACAACATGAAAGTTGACAGCAGTTGACGTCCACTGCCGTTTTTATTGTAGAAAATGCGAAACAGCGTGTCTTACTTTGCGAAGTGCATCAAATCACGTGAACACCTTAATTCAAAACATAAAAAGACTTGGACACTTTGTATTGACGGTACACACCCTTTATCAGTATGACAATGCCAGACCCAACGCAGCCCGAACGGCACAGGACTTCCTTGCAGCCAACAACGTCAACGTGTTGCCGTGGCCTGCGCGCTCCCCTGCCATATCCCCCATGGAACACTGATCCAGGACCTCGAAGAAGAAGGCGAGGTATCCCACGTGACGTTATCAGACGACAGCTCTTTTCTTTTCCGGAGAGTTTTGCGTGTCTTGAGTGAGTGAGTGAGGTTGATTTTACACCGCTTTTAGCAACATTCCAGCAAAATCACACATTGTACCCATGTCGGGAATCGAAACCGGGTTTTCGGCGTGACGAGCGAACGCTTTAACCACTAGGCTACCCGACCGCCCCTTTGCATGTCTTGAAGCAGCGGTGGTCCTATACGCTATTAAAGTGACGTGTCATTGAACTTGAGCGAGTTTTAGATGTGTGTACCCTTTGTCCATTAGGGGCGGTCGGGTAGCCTAGTGGTTAAAGCGTTAGCTCGTCACGCCGAAGACCCGGGTTCGATTCCCGACATGGGTACAATGTGTGAAGCCCATTTCTGGTGTCCCCCGCCGTGATATTGCTGTAATATTGCTAAAAGCGGCGTAATACCATACTCTCACTCACTCACTTTGTCCATTACGTTGAGAGATGTATTTGCTACCCCACCTCAGTTCGGGCAACTGTCACGCCGATATCGGATGCCACATGTATGACTGTCATT